TAAACATTCAAGCATGAAAACCTATTCTCATACACCCCAAAAACAAAATCAAGACTTCGTAAATATGGCCTCTTTAAAACTCTGAAATGGAGCCAGTGTGGCACTTCAGTGTTTTCTAAGACGCCACTTTCTGAAAAACAATTTCATCAGTTTTAGTGTTGTAACATTCCAAACATGTTGTTTTGCTAGTATATGTGCACAGTTTTAACCCTAATCTCTGATTCTTATAGTTTCTCTGCAGAAAATATTGCTGTCAGATTTTCCAGGCTCAGATGGGGGGGGGGGGGGGGGAAGCAGCATTTATGATTTTAACGGCTGATCTGCTGCTCCTAAGGCATTAAAGAGGGAGAAAAAGAAGTTGGAGAGAAAAAAACAAAACCTAAGTGAGGTCCTTTTTAAAGTTAGAAATATAAAAACAAAGGGTAGAAGAAAAAGAAAGGAGAAGAAAAAAAGGAGGCCAGAGGTGAGTCTGAATGCACGACAGAAGGACTGAGTCAGTCGTTCCTCCTTGTCTGTGCCAATGGAAAAAACAGAACATTTTTCAGGCATTAGTGCCCGTGTCTCACTCTGCATCTTCACGTGGAGGATCAGATCGCTGACCCATTTACTGAGCAGCTGAACTAATTCTGACACAATCCAAAAAATAATGCAAACTCAAAAATATCTTAGTTTCTATTCATTTGAGATCACAGGAAAAAAAAATGACTACCAATCAGCAGAAGTTGATCATCTAATTCCAGCAGTTACAGATGCATGACATTATAATCCATATATAATCCACATACTCATTTATATACTGCAGTACTTCATTGTTTTTCCATGTAAACAAAACAAGCATCAAAAAGAGAAATTGTAGAGTTTGAGTCTTGTTGTACATCTTACTGAATGAAATCTCAACATGTGATTTTTCTTCTAAACTGCAAATAACAAACACTTTTCAAGCCTCTTTAAGTGATGAAGGTCTGAAAAATTCAACTGAGTTTCAACAGATGCTTTGCATCTGTAATACTACTTAAACAAATACATCATCTCTCGACTATGGTTTGGAGGGGGGGGGGGGGGGGGGGTTTCAATACCCAGCTGTTTTCCATAAGGAATATGGCTGAATTTCTTTCTTTTTTTGACGTTTTAGTACAGTATTCAAAACAAAAGCACCTGTAACAACAGAAAAAGTGCAGCGCAAAGTAATAATAACCTAATGTAAAGCATTTAGTTCATTAGAAGTAAAGTTCAGAATTCTTAGGGAAATAAACTGCATATATTAGGGAAAAAGGGCTGTACAACTTAGGAAATCGAAAAAAGCAATGGGCATCTGGGATTTAACCTTTTGCGTGACCTTACTCTCTGATCACGCGACTCTCACATGAGGAGACTGTTATTGTCTTTGAAAACCTTCGAAAGCTTTCGGTGGAATCTGGAGTCGAATGTTTTTCACACTAGCCTTGGTACATCTCTCAACCATCTCAGAAATGTGAAGGAGTGTGAGAGAAAGGAATGAAGAGATGCAAATAGAGACCGTTATTAAAATGTCTGTAAGTGTTAGTTCACCCAAAAAGTGTTAAAGTGTTAGTTCTGTCCCTCCGTTGACAGTCTATGCAACTACCACTTTGATGCTTCAAAAAGTTCATAAAGAGGTCAATATGAATTGAGTTTAATCCAAATTTTCTGAAGAGACACAATCACTTTATATGATGAACAGATTAAATTTAGGCTTTTATTCACATATAAACATTCATAAACATCCGTTAGACGTGCGAGAACCAATGAGATTAATTCTTGTGTGTTCAATGTTTATCAATGTATCAATGTTTATATGTGAATTAAAGCCTAAAATGAATCTGTTCATCATATGAAGCGACGAAAGTCTTACGTGTTTGGAAGGAACAACACAAGGGTGAATAAATGATGGCAGAATTTAAATTTTTGGGCGAACTAACCCTTTAAATCCTCTCTCTGATCTTGTTTTCTTTATTTTAGACCGTTCAGGTTTCCTGGCTTGCATCTGTGACAGAGATGCCAAAACGTCACTCGTTCTCTTCCCCCTCACAGTTATATGTCTACCAGACCTAGGTCTATTTCTGAAACAAACATTAGGATGGCTCTGGGGTGTATAAACAAATTGATGTATGTAATGATATATCTACCTGTTAGCCTTGTTTTTTTCTGTCAAAGCAAATAGAAAGAAAAAATGAGAATCTAGAGATGCAGTACAGAACCCACAGAATTGCGACACTTTAATAATTAACCCTCTCTAGGAGCCCTGGAGCCTCTGACTCACTCCTGTTTTTGTTTTAACTTGATATTTAGGGATCCGAAAAGACAGTTTTTTACAACTTCATCTGACTTCTCATTTGTATTCAACTGTGAATTATGAGGTAGCCTACATGAATACACTTTATGAAGGAAATCCTGACATGCGGAAACATCTGAGTGTATCTGTCCAACAATACAGGCTTGATAGAGAGATAGTGGAAAAACACACACAGACCGCTGGCTGGTCCATTTCAGGTTTTATATCCTTTTGGGGGCATTTGGTCCCCACAATGTTGGTTAATTCTGCACACACACACACGCACATGCGCACGCACACACACACACACACACACACACACAATACTAGAACACCACGCACACGCACACACACACACACACACACACACACACACACACACAATACTAGAACAACACTGGCTGTGCATTTACCTCTGGTCTGACTTCTTTGTCACTGGTCCCGCTTTGCACCAGAAACACGCTTGCGAGGGCGAGCGGCAGTAGCCGCTGCAACGTCTGGAGTTTCGGTAACATTCCTCAGTGCACGAGAGTACTGGGCTCGGGACACAAAAATGCTCTAGGCTCCGTTCTTAAAGTTTTCTCCTCTAAGTTTTCCCCAGTAGATTTTCCTAAATCAGACCATTCCAATAGTGAAAACGTTTCCTTAAAACTCTACCTGGTAGTTTTTCCGAAGTAGCTACAAAAAGAATAAAAACCGACTTCTGCCTAGCCTATAAAGTATGTAATCATAATTATTGAAAACTTTTCCAAAAGTAAAGCTGGACCATACACTTTCCAGCAGAAGAGAGAAGACTATCTTCAGATGTGAAATATTTTTTTATCTTAGGTCTGCGCTACATTCTCATCTTGCACTGGAGTTTTCTTTTGTCCTCCGCTGATCTCTCTCTCCACAGGCGGCTTCACTGTCAGATTGGAGACGTGGTTGTTTCTTACGTCCCCTGCGGTAATCTGCCTGCACTGCAGACTCAGAGCTTCTGACTGGGAGGAGTTAAAAAAGAATCGACGCTGCAGATGTGCATTTTTCCCAGTGTGCTAATTATTCAATGACTTTCTGAATTCTCTCCGAAATTCGACCGTCTTTTGTCGCCTCTAGATAGCCAAACTTAAAATAAGTTGTTAAACAAAACACTTATTTTGCTATTGTGATAGGCTAAATGTAATAGCGTAAAGTATAAAAAAAATACATGGATCTGTAAGCTATCACATTATCCCCCCATAAATTGTAGACTATTTAAATTAGTGTTTTATGAGACAACGACAGATCTCTTTTAAATTTTTAGTACATTACTTGTCAAACTACTAGTGGATCTTAAAAACCTTTAAATGCTTGAAATTAGTTTTGTGGACACCAGGCCTACTTTGTGCCTATTCATTTCTTTAAAAAACTAAAATTTGAATTATTACTGTTATTAAATTAAATAAAAAATGATATTTGAACATTTATTTATTGAGTGTGTTGAATCAAATATTGAAGAAAAAACGGTCGGATAAAACTGCACGGATAAAAAAAATGAAGGAAAAATACAAAAACTTAAAATGCTTTCTCCGTTTTACTCATAGAGGACAATTTAAGATCTTACAGACGTTAGGCCTACTGGCAAACTGGGACACCTAGTCTTTTAATTAAACAATAACATTTAATTGTAAATAATAAAAATAGACAATAATACTACTAATAAAATATAATAGTAGGCTATATATTATTATTAGTATTATTTATAATTATAATAATAATATATTAGATTGACAAGATTCCACTGGATGCAGAAATACATGGTTTATTATAATTATATTATTATAGTGAATACTTTAATATCATAAAATGATGAAAACAGTATGAGTAGGTGTGTTCAAACTTTCAACAAGTAGTGTGGCCTACTTAAAAAACAGCACCAATGTGGAGAATAGTAGGCTAGTGTATTACAACAATCCATGGCAATGCTGAAAATAAACGCTAAATTATGACATCTAGTGTTAAAAGGCAAACATTACAAGCAGAAAGCAGCGTGCATTTAGCGTCACTGAAACGTAGGTGGGTGGTGTATCTCGTCTCCCACCTACGAAACAGAACTTACGGAAGTGACTGGGAACGAATGTCAACAAGAGAGAAGAAAAGGTACGGTAAAGATAAAGTCACAAAACAATACTATACGAAAGAACGCATAGAATCTCATTTCGAATAGTTTATAGTGTGGTATCAGGTCTTAATAGTGTCCTAATATAAAGTAAAGTAAGTAGCAGGAAGCCAGCTAGCGTTAGCAAAAATCAGTCGAGAAAGGCTGGTTAGAAGTCGGAAACTAAACTTTCGGAACAATCAGTCAGTTTAGACGCTGGTCGTCTTACTTTCTTACGGGCGAAACGTAAGGAAATGCCCTGAATTATATGTTCTGACTATATGTATGAAGTGTCACTGAATAGTTTGAATGTTTCGTTTATAAACATTACACAGCTACTCTGCCTAACACCGAGTTGCGTCACTGCTGGGAAGAGAGCGAGACAGGAAGTCTGTGCGAAAGATTCTATGCGATATTTTTTTGTCAATTACCGACTATTTTAATTCGAACCCATATTTTGACATTTGTCGAGGTTATGCCATCGAGGTGAGTTTCTGATTGAAACAGTTGTTTTTGAAAGCTAATGCTGGTCAGCCACTGAGTTTTAGTTGTCAGTGTTGTCTTTGTCTTGGTAGTTTATGGTGTTTATTTTTGTCTTTACAGCTAAACACTTCCAACAGGACGCATTGGTGATGGTGCCGCTTTTAATTGTGGCGAGCTGATGGATCTACCGACCATATTTTTGCCATAAATAGTTTTTTTTAATTTGTGTTTTATGAAACAACGACAGTCATTTGCTTTTTAGAATGTCTATTTCCCACAGCCTTTACGTCTTAGGTCTTTTGTTTTTATCAGGTAAGATTTCATGATTTTGTCCTTGACTGTGTATCATGCAGATATGATACAAACTCTTATTATATAAATCTGAAGCAGACTTTTCATGTTGATTGAAATACTGACCTTGAACCGAACCAAAGGTTACTACCTATGGTGACTTTAGGGTCAAGCAAGGTAACATAAACATAAGATTGATTGTATTTACATCATGATAAATGGCAATAAACCACATTTAGTATTCCTTGTCTTATATGTGATTTGTATTTTTCCCCCCACAGTTCCTTGCACTCTGGAGCTGGACTTGAGTGCCGGTAAGGAAGAGCTTGACATCTCTTTGTTTGTTTCTCAGTCTGAACGCTTATTTTAATTCACAACCAATGCCCCAGTTGAAAATGCAACATTCCTGACTAAAATAGTCCTCGAGAAGGTGAAGTCAAAAACTAAAGCATTAGAGATTAAAGGGATAGTTCACCCAAAAATGTATATGCTGTCATCATTTACTCACCCTCAAGTTGTTCCAAACCTGTATGAATTTCTTTCTTCTGCTGAACACAAAAGAAGATATTTTGAAGAATGTGGGTAACCAAACAGTTGATGCGGCCCCCTTATTATTATTTTTCATACTATGGAAGTCAGTGGGGTCCATCAACTGTTTGGTTACGCACATTCTTCAAAATATATCTTCTTTTGTGTTCAGCAGAAGAAAGAAATTTGCACAGCTTTGGAACAACTTAAAGGTTGATTAAATGATGACAGAATTTTAATTTTTTGGGTGAACGATCCCTTTAAATGCCACTTTCTTATAATGTAATTTATTGTTATCTCCACATCCAAAGTCCAAAAATATGTATCTTGTGCCTGCCATTATTTTATTTCACTTCACTTTAGGACACTATAGGCCTTGTGCGCCAGAGAAACAAGCGCGCAGCCATCTTTAGAATTTTGTTTTTGTACTTCTGTTTTTGCAGTAGCGTTGTATATTTCTATGGCAGCGCTGTCGAAGAGTAATTCGCTGGTAAAATGGATTTACTTATTGCAGAGTTAACAAAAGTTATGATGAGCATTGTAATGTATGAAACGGATGTCATAACAAATGTCAGTAGACCGGGAAGATGTTAAAATGAGCGGTTCATTCTGAAATCCGTAAGATCTTACCTTCATGCTGTGGAAATGCAAACCCGAAGACAGAACACAATGAGCTCAGCTCCGAAAAGGGGTGGGGCTACATAAGGTCTATAGGTGTGGTCACAATTACTGTTGCTCGTCTAAATTTCGTAGGTTTTTCAGTCATAAATTTCCAGTCATTTTTGCATAAGGGCAAAACATTTTCACATGCAGATTTTGCATCGGATTCAATTTGTTGTGTTAACCAACAGAATGCTGTGTGACTTTTGTGTGAGTAATTCTTTGTGCATCACTACACAGTGGACAATGGACCTTTTTTTCCAATGTCACTGTGCATTTATTTCCTGTTTGACTGCTTAGGTTTTCTCTTTAGTATTGTCTGTGGACTTTTTTCATATACTTAAATGCTCATTTTTATTTAGTTATATGTTTTAAAGGCCATTCCACCTGCTTTCATGTCTAAAATGATGTTCTCAAATAACACAGGAAATCACTGATCGTCTCTTGTGATTTCACATAAAAATTTAGGGCTAGAGCACAATAAAATGTAAAGATATTTTTGCTTTAACTGTCTGTTTCAGCTCATTGTGATCATTCACCCAAAATACTACAACAAAGACAAGGAGAGATTCATAACTCTGCCCACCATTCCTGGTCTTCCCGTCCACTCAACTGCAGTTGGCTGATAACCTCAAAAGTTGGGGAGCGTGTCATCATCAGGTACTAATAATATTTTATTGAACCTTTTTTTTTGGATCGTTGAAAATATATATATATTAAAGCCTCTATGCATATATGAACAATATGAATGTGAAAAGTGAAAGTCAGCCTAATGATGAGCATATATCTAAGTTTATAAATATGTTAACAAATGGCTTTTGTTGTTAACAAGGTGAGAGATTGCTTTGATCCTTACACAGTAAATGGTCAATTTTTTTTAATTACCTGCCATTTCCTTTGTGTCCATCTCTTTTGAAGTTTTTCCCAGTTTAATATGAGATGTGGACGGGAATGGGTGTCCGTGGTTCCACTCACTGGCAGCCCTTTCAAACTCTGCGGTTACCAGCTTCCAACACCATTTGAGATGACAGGGGGAAACATTACAGTGACGCACCACGTCCTCACTCATTTCTACCCAGTAACAGGCTTCCGTCTTTCATATATTAAAGGTAGATTAGAGCATTGAAGGGGAATTTTCACAGTTCCTGCCCTGACACTGACTTTATCCAGAAGACTGTAAAAACTCTGTTCTTGAGTATGTTTAACAGGGTTCATTTGTCTTTCTCCCACCTCTCCAGACTCAGGTCCCTGTTTTCAAGGCGAGTTTGAATGTTACAGTGAACGCTGTCTCCCGCCATCGTGGCGCTGTAACGGACGAGTTGAATGCCTTGGTGAGGGTGATGAACTTGGCTCTGACGAGGACGGATGTGACGATGTTAGCCCTGAACCACCCATAGACGATGTAAATAACCTCCTTCCAGCTGAAACCAGCACCTTGGTGATCCCATTATCCAGCACAGATGTACCACCGCCTAAAATCCCTGACTTTGCCTTGCTGCCCCAAGGAGGGCCATGTGGGGGATATTTGAGTGCATTTTATGGGTCGTTTACTCCCCCTTTACAAACGGGACAACCGTTGGTGTGTGTGTGGACCGTTGATCCCCAGGATTCACGACCACTCAAATTAGAGGTTCAACAACTGGAACTGGGTCCCCGAGACATGATCAAAATCACAGACCAGCGCCACGGCACAGGCAACGTCATTAAAACAGTGAGTTTTACTCTTTGTCTGTGAGATGATGTAGCTTGTGATTGATCAATGCAGATTAATCTATTTCATACTTGTTTCTTTAAACTGTCAAACCACTTCAAACTTTGATGATATGGATAAAAAGTCTTACATCCCCTCTCATTGACAATTGCAGATCAACTCCGTGTCCAATAGCAAAGCAGTAGAGGTTGAATCCCACACCGGCTTGATTTCCCTGATATACCGTATGGAGCCTTCATTTGAAGGGCGTGGGTTTAATGCGACCTATCGCATCTCGGATTACTGCCTTCCGTGGGAGGAGCTTTGCGGGGGATCACTGGGAGGGTGTTACAACCCAAAGCAGCGCTGTGATGGCCACTGGGACTGTCCTGAAACGGGCCTGGATGAGGAAGGATGCTGGGGCTGCCAAGCTGGGCACTTCCTCTGTGGGATGGGAGGACTTAAGACAGCAAGCCGCCCGCAGAACCGGCCAGTCTGTTACTCGATTCATGAGCGCTGCAACTACCAGCTCAACTGTGCAGATGGAACTGATGAAAGAGAATGTACCATCTGCCAACCTGGGACCTTTCACTGCGACAGTGACAGGTTTGTAAATGTTCATAAACGAGTATACGCCACTGTTTAAATATTTTTAGTGAAGACGATAGCATTTTTTATATAAAAATATAGTACATAACAATAGTACTTTAAAAACGTCATTACAAATAAAAAAATAAAAAAACGTTATCTATTTGAATATATTTTAAAATGTAGTTTATTCCTGTGATGGAAAAGCTGAATTTTAAGAAGCCATTCTTTAGTGTCATTAGACCCTTCAGAAATCATTCTAATATGCTGATTTGATGCTCAAGAAATATTTCATATTAATATCATTGCTGAAAACAGTTTTGCTGTTTAATATTTTAGTGAAAACGGTGGTACATTTTTTAGGATTCTTTGAGTAGGAAGTTAAATAAAACAGCATTTATTTGAAATAGTGATAACGCTTTACAATAAGGTTCATTAGTTAAATACATTAGTTAGCATGAGGTAATAATGAACTGCACTTATATACTGTATGCGTTATTAATGTTAATGTCTACATTTACTAATATTTTATTAAAATCTTGTTAACATTAGTTAATGCACTGTGAACTAACATGAACAAACAATGAACAGCTGTATTTTTATGAACTAATGTTAACAAAGATGAACAAATACAGTAACAAATGTATTGCTCATGGTTAGTTCATGTTAGTTAATACATTAACTAAAGAGTTACCGAAATATTTTTTTGTAACAAAGTAAAACTCTCACTTTACTCTAAGTTTCTGAATGGAAGTATTAATTTCTCACTGACCCCAAATGTTTTAATGGTAGTGTATATATTTTGCCCACCATATGATTGGCTTTTGCGTTTAAAATCTGCCGATGTTTAATTGATTGAGCAGGTGTGTGTTTGAGAGCTGGCGTTGTGACGGACAGGTGGACTGCAAGGATGGCACAGATGAGCTTAACTGCACTGTGACCCTGCCCCGAAAGGTCATAACCGCAGCTACCGTTGGAAGCCTAGTTTGCGGACTTCTGCTAGTCATTGCAATGGGCTGCACCTGCAAGCTGTACTCACTACGCACTCGAGAGTACAGGTAAAACCATCTAAACCAGATAATAACTACCAAAATGAACATCATTTTCCAATTATAATAATTTTACAATGTCATTGATTTTTTTTTTTTTTTTTGAGAAAGATCAGGACATCATTATGTGAAATATTATGTGAAAATAGTGACAGTATTTCTGTATACTCTACTCTTGCCTTCTCAGCATGTTCGCACCAATCACTCGGCAGGAGGCTGAACTGATCCAGCAGCAGGCCCCGCCCTCTTATGGTCAGCTGATTGCTCAGGGAATCATTCCACCAGTGGAAGACTTCCCTACTGAGAACCCCAATGAGGTAAGAGCTCTTGTTACTGTTTTAATGCATCAATTTTATGAGAAATATGCAGTGCATCACATTTAAATGTATAATTTTAATATTTATTATACATAATCAATTAATGAAAATAAAGAAATTATTAATGTAACAAAAGATGGCAATTACATGCTGTTATTATTTTGAACTTTCCTGGAAAAAATGTATCACGCTTTCCACTAAAATATTAAAGGCGTCATATAATGCCATTTTTGTACAAGCTAGTATGATTCTTTAGGGTCTAAATTAAAAGTTTGTAATATACTTTAATTAAAAATTCTAATTAGTATTGTAAGAAAACACTTATTTTACTTGGTTAAAAACAGCTCTGTTTTCAGCACGCCGTTTCAGTGCATATGACTTTAAATGATAATGAGCTTTGCTCACCCCGCCTCTCTGTTCTGTGCATACACCGTTTGTAACACAATAACACAATAACCATAACGCGTTGTTCAGTATAAACGTGGGATTATGAATTATATTGAGAACATCATACATAGAAAACATGCTGTAATGTACCCTAAGTGTAAACCTTAGACGCATTCATTGTGAAGTGTGCAGCTAGCGATTTGCAAAGGTTAATATAAATATTAATATAAAGTTTAATAAAACGTTACACTCACTTCAGTTGTTCTAGAGGTTCAGCAGAAACATGAATAGCTGGTACCGATCCTTTTTTCATTAACAGCTTCTTAGCAAATCCAGCTTTATACTGACCCTCGTTTATAAAGCAGTCTGGTGAGAAATGATTCGCGCAAACATGAGAGCATTGACGTTGCTCGTGGGGAATATTCCCTTCGAAAACAAACACAGCCACTGCGTCTTCAGCGGTTCGGATTCAGGAACATTAAAATGACTGCTGTGTTCGTTATTACACCCAAGAACAGAACACCACAATCGCTTAGACGCCATTCTGCTCATAGACAGTGCTCCAGCATATCAACAATGACCGCGCCGGTCCGCGCAGACTATGATTGACAGCTCCCTCACGAGCGAAGGCGGGTCTGTGTTGAAACGATGCTGTCAATCAACAATCGTGGGAGGGGCTTCCGAGCGTGTCACGTCACACGCTCGTCACAAAATCGAACGAATCAATTTGAGGCAGGGGAAAACATATAAGGAGATTAAAACAAAAACACTGGATGGATTTTTATCATTTTATGATGGTTGTGTACAGGCACTGCCAACACACATTTCAGTACAATCAACTTGTAAAAGTGTATGTACCGTTATATGACCCCTTTAAGCAGCAGAAAAGTGTTACTTGAGCACGAAATCAGCATATTACAATAATTTCTGAACGATCAAGTGACACTGAAGACTGGAGTAAAAGACTGGCTGCTAAAATACATCTTTGCCATCACAGGAATACATTTTAAAATACATTAAGATAGAGAACAGAAATTTTAAATTGTAATAATATGTCACAATATTACTGTTTTACTGTATTTTTGATCAAATAAATGCAGCCTGGGTGAGCATAAGAGTAAGAGACATAAAAACGTTTTTAAAACCTTACCGATCCCGAACTTTTGAATGGTAGTGCATTTAGTCTAGTGTAGAAAAAATGATTAAAAAAAAAATTTACATTTCTGTCCCTAACTGGCTTTACAATATTTGTTTTATATTTATTTTCTCTTATTTGTGGAATTTTCTGTTTGGTTTTTCACTTTTGCATGTTTTTGTTTCTACAATTCTCTTTGTGTCTTTTTTCAGACTGTCTCACTCTCTCTGAGAGGAATACTACAGCTTCTCAGGCAAGACAATGCTTCCTCTCTACGGCGAAGACGCAGGCCCCGGTTCATCCGCAGAGCTGTGCGACGCCTACGAAGATGGGGCTTGCTTCCCCGGCCCGCACCCAGGCCAACACAGACCACAGCCTCTTCTTCCCAACAGACAGAAGCCGCTAATACCAGCACTGAGCTCAATCAGTCAAGTCCTGGAGTCTCCTCAGTGGCTACAGAGGCTGCCAGTCAGTCCTTGCCTCAAAAACTGTGTTTATCCCAACAGACAGAAACACAGCTGCATGCGGAGGCTCCTCCACCTCCTTCTCCCCCACCTCCATTTTCTGTCCATCCAATTGAAGACCCTGAAACACAACAGACCCCACCCATCATCACTATCCCCCCGAGCAGCCCTTCCCTAGCATCTCTCTTCCAATCGCTGGGGCGGAGCATTTCCCGTTTCAGATCCTCCCCGTCCCCTACTTCTCTTCCTCTTTCTGCATCCCCCTCTTTTTCCTGTTCTTCTTCAGAAGATGAAGTGCTGCTGATCCCTCTCTCTGATGACACAACCTCTGAAGATGATATCCCCATGCTGACATGAGCGACTCGTACTTTCTTTTCCCTTCCAGATCTGTCTCTCAGTTCACCATGTTCTCGCTCTCCCTGCCTTCCTCCTTTCAGCACGTCAGCCTCACCATGTTTGCTTCTTGTGCTGGCTTGGTGCCTTAACTTGTATTAGAGCATCTGTTTTCCTGACTTAAAAGAAAAAGTATTGAATTAATGTGCGTCAAATATATTTGACAAGCGATTGCGTGTGTACAGATGTGTGTCTGTTGTGCACTTATCTAAATGGTTAAGTATGATGGAAGAGCATTTGCACAAAGAATCTCCCCCATCTGGCTTACGATAATGTTCCTCTGTGTGATCCTTTGCCGCAATGTTGGTTAAAAAGATTGATTTTAGTTAGAATTGCTTTTTTTTTTTCTGCAGACATGGTTGTGTGATGTACATACATGTGAGTTGACCTCATAATGCTACAGGCCACATTTTATTGTGTGTTCCTCAGAAGTGCCTTTGATTGAGCTTCCTGTACATCACTAGACAGTATGTGACTGCGTATGTGCTTGCACGTAGGGCCAAACACACTTGCACAAAAGTTTACACATAGATGTAGAACTCACCCTCGCTATGTATATGGTAGTGCATGGCAACTGTGGCAATAACTTAATAATAAAGACTTGTGTGTTGTGAGTGAGTGATTGTGTGTGTGTGCGTGTGTGTGTGTACGAGAGAGAGTGATTTAGCTGAAAGTGGTTAGCCACTCAGTGGAGACAATCCTTCTTGGAGTTGCACCTCCACATGCACCACCAACCTGAATGACATCACAATATCACAATAACTTGAATGTCTTTTTTTGTGTTTTTTAAATGAAAAGTTTAGATTTCATACTTTTCTGGCTCAGTGGACAATAAATGGGTGACCAGTCGTAGTGCCATATCTATAGTCACTTGATTTCAGCTGCTGTTAAGATCTGTCAGTTCACTCCTTCTTTTACCCTGTCAAAGTTGTTTTTACTCTATGTATTTTTAATGCCGAGATGTTGAACTCTCATCTGCTGAATGGTGACTAGAAAGACGTGGGTGGGAATTATAGATGAACTGATGATATTAGGATGAATTCACTGTATATATTTGCTAAACCAGCTGGAAAATCCACAAAGAATAAAATGATTTGCACTTTTATTCTTCCTTGTGTGATTTGATTTTCCAACTCGAATGTTGCTGTTTAGTTTCTTGTGTGTTTGTGAAAATTGCTGGGAATGTAAAAGACTTTATTTGCACAATTTAAAGCTGAATGGATACTGCAAGGTAAGAAAAAACAGTGTATGCTGTCAACATAGATATAAAAAAAATCTAGAATGCAAGTGTTACAGGTGAAGAATGTGACTTTCCCTTTTAAGGGAATATAAAGCATTATGTCGTCAGTTCTACTGAAACTATGAGAGGTGATTGTCTTATTTGCACTTCAAAGCCTGCATTGCCTCACTTGCTTTACATCCTGAGGAGGAGGATCTTTCTGCTCAGAAGAGAAGGAAACAAACAGATATGCAGGTTTCCTAGTTCGCCATCTCCAAATACAAGCTAAAGGACTGATATGCTGGTAAGAAATCTATTGACTAAATATTTTTCTGTGTGAAAGAAAACGTTTCTATTTGTTTTAATGTTAAAAATGTGTGGTCAGTAATAATAAATAATAAAAAAATCTAATAAATGCTAGTCTTGTCTTTTCATCAAAAAGTCATGTTTCCACAAAAATATAAAACGGCACAACTGTTTCCAACAGGATCATGTGACACTGAAGACTGGAGTAATGACTGCTGAAAATTCAACTTTGCCATCACAGGAATAAATTACCATTTAAAATGTATTAAAATAGAAATTAGTTATTTTAATAGAAATATTTCAATTTCATTGTATTTTTGATCAAATATAAATCCAGCCTTGGTGATCATAAGAGACTTCAGAAACCATTTAAGTCTTACAGACCCCAAATTTTTGAACGGTAGAGTAAATGACTTTCTGAAGATAATTTATGTTCTTGTTTGTGTTAAGGACAACTCTATATTTTTTTATATATCTAATATAGTCTTATTGCCCATAAAACATTTGTAATTTTGCCTTTTTTAAATAATTGTGCTTTTTCTTTGTCTTTTATGATAAACTACTAACTAGATAATGCATGATTTTGCACCTTTTGTTTGTATTGGCATATTACTGTTGCCATGGTTTCCATGTACTTGGGGGAAGTGCATCTTTGACCAAGTTCAGAGATCAATCAAAGTAGTGTCCCCGCCCACTGGTCAATATGCCTCTGCTCATTGGCCCTTGCGTGAAACAGCAATCAACATACCTGTCACTGCATCAGAGGAGATTCTCGCGCCCCAGAGACCTAAAAGAGCAGAGAAAAATGCTGAATCCATGGCGGTTCCACAACCAATCAGGATCAAGATCTGGATCCCCTCAGAAAGCCCCGCCCTTTCAGACTGGGAGAGAGAGAGACTAATGACCGCGGTCGATGAGGCTGTTAGCGAAGTTTCCAGTTTACTGTCAGGTGAGCAGTGTTGGTAGGTTGGTACCTGGTTGGTACCAGTGGCGTAGGCAGAAATTGTATTTTGGGTGGGCCAGTGAAAATGTGACTGGGCCTATATTTTTGTCTAGAAAAAAATGACTTCAATAATAATAATTATTGAAAAATGACTTCAATAATAATTAACATTAATAGACAAACTGAAAAAACAGTTACACCTTTATATTCGGCAAATCATCATGTTCAACCAACAGAGCTCAATAAAGGCTGGACAAACCAGTATAGACACAATAACCTGTCTATTTTATTCTATTCAGCAGTGCAAATACAGTTCACCCGAAAATAAATTAAAGTAAGCTAAAATAATAATATCACAGTTAGATCGGCGGATAAACCCGCGTCAGGCTGACGGGGAGAGAGGGAGCAAGAAGCGGCCGGCGCCAGCACCTGACTAGCCTTCTCCTGGGGAAATGAGTCGGAAGAACTGGGCTGGGTGGACTCGGAAGATGAAGGCAGTGGCGTGTCTTCTTCCTCAACTCTTGCTTTTTTTCAAATAGCACATTAAAGAAAGTTGTTTAGCCATTATTGTGGCGCCGACGCCACTGAGAGTTTTCCTATCGGAACCCCCAGCAACCATAGCAACCAATAACGTTCCGGAGAGAGGCTTTCTACAACTTGCTTCACCAGTTAAATTTTATTCGAAAAACAAATTAAACACACACAGCAGTCAACAATTAATCAGGTAAATATTAATATATTTTCATAAATACATTTGAATAATAAAAATAAACAAAAAAAATATTTTTATCAAACTTTCCTGGGCGGGCCAGTGAGTAATGTGGGCGGGCCAGTGCCGCCCTGGCCCAATACTGGCTACGCCCCTGGTTGGTACTCATTACAAGTAACTTGAGTTACGTAATCAGATTACTTTTTCAGGTAACCAGTAAAGTAACGCGTTACTTTTTTAACTTACAACAAAATATAACGTAACGCTAGTTACATTTTCAAATTTTTTGACTGACAGCTGTCCCCATGTTGAGAGAAATAAAGTGGGGTGTTGTGTGCGCTGTGTTAACATGATAGTTATTTTAGTTCTAGACTAAATGTGAACATCCATTTACACTTTACACTTGCACGAAAACATTCAGTATTCCTCAAAATGAATAAAAACAGTAAAATGAAATTTCAGAATTTTACGCAAAACTTTTATGGTAAATGGTAAATTACTTTTTTTTGGAGTAATGCAGTATTGTAATGCATTACTTTGAAAAGTAACTTTCCCCAACACTGCAGTTGAGTAGTTAGTACTGAATAGTCAAATATTGAGAGATTTTCTTCCCAATCCTTTCCTCTTTAGCAACATTTTTGTGGATGTTTGTTCATAGTGAGACGAGTTCCAGACAGTCTGTTGCTGAACAGAGACATAAACAAATACTGCAAATTCGTCTGGAGAAACAGTAGCACTGCTAACCACATGAAGTATGTTTTACAATTATTCATTCATTCATTCTTTCTTTCTTTATTTCAGACCCTTAGTTCCATATCACAAAGTAAAAGAAAAAGAAAAGAATTACATACAGACACACATGTTTTACTCTTCTTCTCTGACTCTCTTACTGAACTGCTCTGTCATTGTTTTTTACTGTGCTAGTAGTGTTTGTAGTAGCACTTGCTCATTGACCTTTCATCTTAACTGATTTTCAAAATGTATTTTAATTAGTCAACCAGTGTCATTCTCCTCAGATGTGGCAGAGCCAAAGAGAACTACAGATTCGAGAGCTGCTTCGGCGTGAATGTGAGTCTCGTCGTTTCATACATACTACGTACTACTACTCAAAATATTGCACTTATTGTTCAGTCTTGCCTGCTTACAGATCCCAGATGAGCACCTAAATGGCTGTGCTGTTTATCCCCATCCTGAGCAACCAGTCCCGACAGTGCTGAGGCCAGAGGGGACGGGAGTTCCTGACACTGACTTCCTGCTCTATGTGTTCACTCACAGCACAGATAAATGCAGAGCAGAGGTAGACACTATGACTACTGAGATTTAATGCTGGTTGTCATACAGTGTCTGTAACATTTTTACATGCCTGTCTCAGTCTAGTATACTGGCTTATGCTGCTCACTGTCAGGCAGATTCAGAGGGGCGTCCTCTGGCTGGGACTATGGTCATCTGTAGAGAGCCGCTCAGTATGGAAAGATACACACATGAGCGCTATGTGCAGGTGACAGTGAGTGAGTGTGTGTTTGAGAAGAGAAGGTGAACTGCAGTTATAGTACAGTAGGAAACATTGAGAGTACAACATTCATTATTTGTAATCTTTGTTTTGGTACAGACTGTGATCCATGAGCTTTTCCACGTGTTGGGCTTCAGCAAAGAGCTCTTCAGCCGATGGAAGGATTGTTCTCTCTCCTCTCAGGGTAACTATGGAAGCTTGTTTCCGCCACAGAATAAAAAATTATTGTGACTTTTTATTTCACAATTTACATCTCGCAATTTGGACTTTATTTCTCGCAATTTGCGTGATAAAAAAATTGCAATTGTTAGATATACAAACTCGCAATTCTGAGTCTTTATGACTTTAGAACTTGCAATTGTGAGTTTAGGCCTGTATCTCACAATTTGAGAAAAGAAGTCAGAATTGCGAGATATAAACTAGCAATTGCAAGAAAAGAAGTCAGAATTGCGAGATATAAACTAGCAATTGCAAGAAAAGAAGTTAGAATTGCAAGTTATTAAAGTCCCCGTGAACCGGAAGTTGCAAACGACTTTTCTCCAGTGTTGTGACGTATTTCCGAGAGAAACGGAATACTAAATGAGGCAAAATGGTGGGCGTGGCTTTTTCCCCAACTAGCACCTGATTGGATCTAGAAAAGTAGGTGTTTTCATTCAGTCTGTCTACTTTCAGTTGGAGGGGCGTGATTACGGATGTTAAGAAGACGCCCAAACCGTGAAACCTACGTCATCAGGCAAGGTCCTCCAACGCAGAGGGGAGGGGAAATTTCAGATTTTGATTAAAGATTACGAAGCCAAAAAAATTTTTTGTGTGGATTGACTTGCATGGATGAATTGTTCACCACAAAACGATCAATTTAGGCAAACAAAGTAAGTATGGTCAATTTTTGTATTCATGGGGACTTTAAGTCAGAATTGCGAGTTTATATCTTGCAATTGTGAGTGAAAATGTCAAAATTGTGAGATAAAAAGTAACAATTATCTTTTAAAAATGTGTTTTTCCCTGGATCTCGGAAACAAGCTTCCATAAGTAACAGCTTAATTTTTCTAAATTTTCTTTATGTAGCTGAATAAATATCTTTTAGAGTCATGGTGTTTATTGTAGCCCTGTTGTCTAGTTGCTGGTCATTTTTGTCATTGTGTGTATTATGAAGCTGGTGTAGACTGCTGGCCTTATGGTCAGGTGATCAGCACAGATGAGATGGGGCAGGTTAGACTCTATTCTCCTACTGTGATCAGAGCAATGCAGAAACATCTCAACTCTACCCATGCTGACCTTGGAGCTCCATTAGAGAACAAGGTACCCACCACGTACAAAACGCTACTGTGGCAGTGACATGATACCGTGATGTTATCACCTTGATACAACAATTACTACATACTTTCAAAAGTTTGAGGTCAGTCATTTTTTATATTTTTTATATTAAGCAAAATTGATTAATAATTTAGCAAGGATGCATTAAATTCATCAAAATTGGCATTAAAGACTTTTACATTGTTACAAAAAAAATATATTTCAAATAAATAATGTTCTTTTGTGCTTTCTAAAATAATTGTGATTTTTTTTTTTTCTCAGAATTGCAAGATATAAATTTGCAATTGCAAGACAATGTCGGAATTGAGAGCTGACTTTTTGTTCCCCTCAGAATGACTCGCAATTGCGAGTTTAAATCTCACAATTCTGAGAAAAAAGGCTGAACTGCAAGGTATATAATCGAAATTCGGACTTGTTCCTTGCAATTGCAAGTTTATATCTCACAATTCTGAGTTTACATCTCGCAATTGTGAGATAAAAAATCGCAATTACCTTTTGTATTTTTGTATTTTGTGGCGAAAACACCATAAATGACTGCTAAAAGATCAATTTAAAATATATTGAAATAGAAAACAATTATATTTCATTTATTTGCATTTATTTGAACAAAATACAGGAAGAACAGTAATATTGTGAAATATATTTAAAAATATATTTCACAATATTACTGTTCTTACTGTATTTTTAAATATATTTCACAATATTACTGTTCTTACTGTATTTTGTTCAAATAAATGCAGCCTTGGTGAGCATCAAGAGACTTTTTTTCAAAAACATTAACAAATTATACAGACCCCAACATTTTTCATAATAGTATAAATCATGGCATATACATGGCACTACAATGATATTGTAGTAATGGTACAGTACATTGTCCTAAAACAATAGAAGTGCTAGGTTTCCATTTCCAAAAATCCATGGTAGTAATGCATTACATTTGGTGATTTGATACACAATGATTTGGTCACATTTTTGTTAGTGACTTCAAATGTTAACCTAGAAACTTTTGAAATTGAAGTACACAAACAAAATGATGTAATGTCAATGTAAAGATGGTGTCTATTTTTTATTTTTTTAACTGAGTGCAAATTTCCAAACCGGTTTTACAGTGTGGCTATTTACACTTGAATAGTATCTATTACTGTTTGCACTTAATGTAAATAGCTGCTGGCTAATGTAAAGCACAGATGATATACTCAATCACTCCCTCTGTCTCTTCCTCTCAGGATGTTGGTTCAGATGGTCTCTCATCACACTGGGAGGCCCGTGTGCTTCAGGGCTCCATCATGGCAGCTTTACTGGTGGAGCCGTCTCTGATTCGCATCGATCACATCACACTCGCTGCCCTCCAGGATACAGGCTGGTATTCAGTGAACTTTAGCCGAGCTCAGAGCCTGGTGTGGGGAGAGGGTAAGACATCTGCTATTAAACTATTTTGGTGGTTTACATGCATAAAGAGTCATATCACACACTTGTCGATGCTGGAGTCACACCTAAGACTTGCCTGTTCACTGTTTTATCACTCTTTCTGTGTGTGTTTTAGGTGAAGGCAGTCAGTTCGGGTCCCTCTCTACCTGTCACAATTCTTCAACTTTCTTTTGCACAGACAGGTAACCAAACAAATAAAGCGTCTTTGAATAATCACAGGTATTTTGACACTGATTTAAAGGAAACTATATTTTGCATGTTTGAATGGTGGGCTTGTTAAAAAGTGAATAGGTTTAAATGGCTTTTCTAAAGTTGGTAAAAATAATTATTTAGAATTGTAATTATTTTATTTTTAAATATTAAATATTAGTATTAAATGTGATACATAAACTATCCACTGTCTTCCTCCCAGTGCATGGGGTTGTCATTACCTTCACTTCCACAAGGGGGAGTGTCTCACTGATCCGTACCTGGATGGCTGCCACATTTTCAAACCCTTGGCAAATGCTGTGAGTCTTTCTTTTTCTCTTTCACCGGTCCCTCACTTTGTTGTCACCCTAACAAAACTTCCCACATGATTATCACTGTGTAATGCCACTTTTCTTCATCAGAGTGAATGCTGGAACAAGGAGAATGAGAGGAGTGGAATGAATGAAGAAAGTGGAGAGATATATGGCTCAGACAGCCGCTGTTTCATATCCAACCTCACCAGACCGGTACCACGTGTTCTCACATTTATGTACAAACATATTTATAAATGTTTAAATATGACAAAGCTACAGTTTTCAGATATTTAGACCCACTAGTAAAGGCTGTTTTAACTTTTTTAGAATCATTCATCCTCATCCCGTGCATCAGTGGCAGGTCACTGTTACAGACACAGATGCACTGGAAGAAACAAATATCAAATTCAAGTAAAGGATTCTGATTGGTTGGATTGTCCAGCAGGCAAGAGTGTTGAGGTTTGTGAGAAAATCATTGGTTATCTCTGAATACATTAAGTAAAACTAATTTGAATCCTGCAGGTTAACTATAATGACTGAATCATTTAACACTTGTTTCACATCACTGGGCTATTTGTTATAACTTTCTGTCTCTAAATGTTATAGGTGTCTGGTTATCAGGGATTCATTTTCTGCCCAGACAACAGATTATGTAAATATTCTGATTTAGCTCCTCCTACATCAAGGCAAAAGGCAGATAACCTTCTTAACATTAGCGCATCCATTGAGAGGTTAGTCTAATCCTTTGTTTTTGTTTTTCAAATCTGTGATTTACCTTCATCACAATATGCCAGCAGTTACATAATTCAAAATACAGTGTAATTCTATGTCAGTTGAGTCTCTCTAGGAGTAATATATCTTTCCTGTATCGTAGTGATCATGATGTGAAGGAGAAAGACGCCACTCCTCATCCCAACCTCGTGCCTCTCTCCTCAGTCACAATGTCTAAGCCAGAGATCATTGTGGCAACAGTGCTGAGCATCATGGCTGCTTTCTCTCTACTGTCTGCTGCAGTGCTCATCTACAGGAAGTGTTCATCAGCCAGGGTCAGAGTACATGCCACCAATGAGCCTCCATACAGGTCATAGTTTCCTCTCACATAATGCATCAGAAGGAACCGATGGTAGAACCAAACATGGAAAATAAACCAACAATGGAGACTAAACCGTTTTTTTAATGGCAGCAACAGGAGTTCAGAAAACAAAAAACTGAAACATTTATTCAATTTATTATAACCTTTTATGCAGATAATTAACTTACATAAACTTATTTTGTAATTCATATAATAAAATATTTGTATGGCAAAGATGAAGTTGTGATGTGATAAGTGGATTTCCTTACCTCAGGGAAAGGTTCTTTATTTAATTAAAATGTACAATGTTTTCTGAATTAAGGTAGCTTTTCTACATCTCTATTCAGTAGAAATCAATGTATGTGTCATTATTATTCAAAGTCTTGTAAGATTTTTTAGGTGTACTTACAAAAATCACTGAACAGTAACATGTTTCTCAGAATTTATTTAGTCAACAAGATTACAATAGTATCAAATTATCAAAAATCAAAATTATGCAGTTACAATATTAAGTAAAATAAAAAAGCTAAATTCAAAAACTGCTTTAAAGGTGTAAAACACAATTTGCAAAACAATTATAATTTCCAAACCAGTTTCTCAAACATTCCTTCTGTCTGTCTGCTTCGACCATTATTTGGAAACATTATTATAATAATATATTATTTATTCCACAAACAAACAGCAATGCCTGAAAAATGTCACAGAGCCAGTGCTTTCAGATAACATACAGATGTTTAGCAAAATAGTTTATGCATATTAAGATGGAATACAAGAAAATTATATAAGATGGAAAAATGTTCATCTTTACTGACGTAATATGCTGCAGTAAAAAAATGTGTACGCTAATGAGATAGTTTTAAATTGGTAAAGCATTTAGACATGTCTAAAATCCATCTAAAATTTAAGTAAGTAAAAATTAGACTTTTTAAGGCCTTAAATTTAAAAAATCTAATTTAAGACTTTTTAAAGATCGACAGGAACCCTGTTAGGATTATGATACTAGTTACAGCTACTAAACTGTGATTCTGTGATTATAGGAAAAAAAATTCTTAATATATTGATGAGATTATTGGTTGAAAGATTAATGATTTTTTTCTTTAAGCTTGAAAGAACTTGCAAAACGGTGCTTTTATCCTTTTTTGTAAAGGCTACATCCTGTAGATCCAGGAGGATGAAAGGATTGCAGCAGCAATAAAAATTTCATCCTGGTCTTCGCCCAGTGCTCAGGAAGTATCATCTGTGAAAGATCAGATGAGTAACAAACATAATATTTAGAACATGTATAGATATCAAGTAAACTGGTATCAACATAGTGATATCAGATAAATGTATTGAACTTATTGCTGTAAGAAAACATGTACATTATCTCAGTACCTGACATCTCTCAGTGGAGTAATTCAGATCAGTGCAGAGCTCAGTGTTGTCTGCTTCCTCTTTCTCTTTATTTTTCTAATTAAAAAGGTAATCAGATCAAACGCATACATCAATATAATATAATATAAATGTTTTTACCTTGCAACCCCTACATAGACATTTCATACACAATGGTAATTCAAAGTGCTTTACATAGAAGAAATTAAAATAATCAAAACAAATATGATTAATTAAAACAGTTTAGAATAAAAAAATAAAGTACAGTAAAAACAGTCGGACGAACAGTGGCACATTGTTCTTACATATGATAATTGGTTTGGGAAATGGATGGATAACAGTTGTTTTATAATTAATAATATATTATAAGACTCACTTTGCTCATTTTCATTTTAGAGCATTTGATTTCTTCATTTTTCTTCATTGTGTTCTGCATCACCTGCTGCACAAGCTTGTGCATCATCACCTTCTTTGTCTGTGATGAGAGAGAAAAGACAGATGCGATGCGTCACCCAGTATGCTTTAAGATTCATAATTAGCTTTTGCTGTTGATCTGAATAAAAGATAACTTTACATTACCTTTTTCTTTTCACTCTCATCTTCAACAGGAACAGTGTTGTGAGTCTTGTGGTCTTCATCATTACAGGACAGACACACAGACGTATGATCATCTCTACAGAACAACTCCAGAGGTCTGTCATGTTTCTGGATTATTTTAGAAAACAAATTCACCACAAGGTCAATCATCATGACCTGCTTTATCTTTAGGACTCTCCCATGAGGCTCCACTTTAGGCTCACAGCAAAAGTTCTGACACATCAGGACCTCAGATTGAGACCATAGCTGCTCAAAATCTCTAAGATCTGCTCTATTGTTTAAATTTTCTTTACAGCATGGACATCTGTTATCATGACTGCTTTCCCAGCATTCCTTCAGACAGGCCTTACAGAAGTTGTGTCCACATGGTGTTTTCACCGGATCAGTGGACAGCTCCAGACAAATTAAGCACTGAAGGTTTTCATTCAGGGCACTGCTTGAGAAAGCCATTTCTGAAAAACAAAACAAACAAAAAATAAAATAAAATACTTCACATTCATTACAAAAACAACCCAAAAATATGTGAACTTGAAGACAAAATCGACTTTATAGAAACAAAAAGTTTACAGTTCAAAGTTTAAAAAAGCAAATGTATCCATAATTGCTCAAATAGGTATTGAAATAATTGAAATATTGAAAAAATTGAATATACATTATTTATGCTAAATATTAGCATCTTTGTATTAAATTTAAAATATATATTTATGAGGGGGATAGAAGATCCTGCTATATTACTAACTCACTTGAAGGTTTGTACAGAGTCTCTTCTTGGACGTCTGTTTTTAAGGGTTGTAAATATTCTGTCATTATCGGCTCCCTCTTGTAACCTTTAAAAAAAAATACAAAACAGAATTTTAAAGGCTTAATAAATAGACGCATCTCATGGGCATAAAAATATCACATATACTTTACTTTTGTTACTCGTCAAACTAAGCATGTTGCTAACTTAAATATCATATTATGAAAATGCATTGGAAAAAAACAATATACCGGTATGTATACCTGTGTTTTTCTCAAAGAGTTGCACAATCTCTCGAAGAGCTGTGTTGCATTTTAGATCAGGACATTTGTTGAATGCTTCTTTACAATATGGGCAGGTGCAGACCTGACTGTTGTCCCAGCACTTCTCAAGGCAGGTCTTACAGAAGTTGTGTCCACATGGAGTAGTGACTGGATCATTGAATACATCCAGACAGATGGAACACTGAAGCTCTTCAGATAACAGACCACTGGCGCATAACTGGGCTGAAAGCAGAAGAAATGTATTAACTTCAGGAAGTCCTCACTTTTGAAGTGCACATCATCTGTTCTGAATTTAGTACATATTTTGTACAATAAGTTTTGTGCAAATACAATTTTGTGCACATTTATGAGACAGGATTTCTAATAAAAGGTTTTAGTTTTAAAATATAGCCCTACCTGTGGTGTTTTTCTCAAAGAGTTGCACAATTTCTCTAAGAACTGTGTTGTTCTTTAGATCAGGTCGTTTGTTGAATGTTTCTTTACAATACGGGCATTTGTAATCCTGACTGTTATCCCAGCATTCTTTCAGACAGGTCTTGCAAAAGTTGTGTCCACATGGAGTGGTGACTGGATCATCGAGCACATCCAGACACACTGGACACTGACGCTCCTCTGTCAGAAGACACCGACTGCAGAGACCCATAACTGAAAAAATAATGTTTATAATCCTAACATTCATTAAAATAGACAACAAAAAACTAAGTAATACTTAACATATTAGCACTGTGCATTCAAACACCCACCATTGCATTACTGAGTGATTGCATAATGTATGTTCAGACCAGGAAGACTTACATGGAGGCAAATCGATACTTTCCCTTCTATCATGTCTGGATTTTGGTGGTGTTAAGTGTTCTGCCATTTCTTATAGGCCTGCAATCCACCAGCTTTTACAACCGGGTGTTACAGCAAAATTCACGTTATCCCATAATCACCAGGCCTTCCTGTAATGAGTGAAGTTATATCTCTTTTACAAGAATCATACGGCCAAATAACACATCAACAAGTAATAATATATAAACATATAAATGACTAATCGATTTCAAATTAGATTTAGACAGAAATAAACAAGAAATGAATAGGCCTAAACAAAGCGAACCGTAAGATGGCTGCACTTAAACCTGCGCAAATTATGGATAAAAATAGTAAATAAATAGTTAGAGGTATCAAGTCGGCTATTTTCATTAATTTTGTTCTCGATAAGACCAAACCGCTTTTTTTTTAAAAATTTGCCAACTCAACTGTGTTGCTGTGTAAGCTACCGTGCGCGTGAGTTACAGAAGAAGTTTCCGAACGATGAGCCTTGAATTACTGATTAATAGAATACCCAAATACTCCAGGTTCCGTTTTTCTGCATTACAAATTTATCTGGAAGGAATCTGTAAAAAAGCATGACTATTTGGCGTAGGCTAATGGTTTGAGTTCGCCACTGTTAAATGTCGTTATTAATTGTATTGTAAATTAAAGCATTTTAATTAACATTCTGTTCAGGTAATCCTTTCATCACATACCTCTGATTATCTGTCTGAATAAACTTTAGCCCTCTGAAAAATATAATAGCCTATAAGCGAAGAGACAATGTCCTCGTTTGTCCGAATAAGTTTCACTTTCTCCAAACGTACGTGTTGTCAAGTAATGTAAAGTGTAAATGTATCCCCTAGCGGAGGGATACCGCATCGAAACAAAAAAGAAATAAATAACAAATAACAAGAAAATTAGATGTTTTCTTAAAAACAAAGTGTAAAGCTCAAAACAACATAATCGTGAACAGGCGATTAGCCTATAATCTGTTCTGTATAGTGAGAGAAATTTTCTTGATTCTTTACCCAAATGTGTGAATTCTGTTTAGTGTTGACACTGATACCTCTAATGCAGGTTTAGACTTCTAAAACTCTGTTCAGACTCCTTTGCCATTGTCATTTGTCATATATAAGTAAATTGTACTAGGCTACTTCTAAAAACATGCAACTGGAAATATCTTGTAAAGAAAATGTACTTAAAAAAACAATGCTGAAAACAAAACTCACTAGGCTAATGCTAAAAAAAATAGACTGTTACAAACACATTGATTAGAGCAAAGCACATACCAATATAGAACTGGCATTCCTATTTCCATATCATTTGTATCCTTAAATATTATATGAATATTTCCTATTTCACACTTTTTCTATTTATTTATTTTTTCATTTGAAATGTAATTCATTCATTGTAATTGCCAGTTGTGATGATCAGAGGAGCTGAGTTTTTACCTTTTCTATTAAAACATGGGATTAAGAGTTTCTTAGTGAAAGAGTAGGCTATATAAGACCTGGATTCCATAAAAGGAGATCATAATTCACAAACACACCCACTTTCCAGGGCTTAACTGTTAGAGACAGAAAAACAAGATAATCATTCATTGACAACCTCATAGTCTTTATGGTTCCTCAGCCACACAATTCAGACACCAGTGTCAGGAAATGGTGTGACAATCCCCAATTTAAGCAGATGCTCTGACCAATCCCACTCAGTTTTACCCTTGCCAGCAGGGGCGTTGCTAGACCCCTTTTACTGGGGCACATGAGCAATATTTTAAGTACACAATTCACATATACTTAATTTTTAGTAAGCAGGAATAATTTCCGACTTTAAACAAATACCCAATTAAATGCTTAGGATGTTTGCGTTGTAAGACTGTTCAGGGAGACTTTAGATTTAAAAGCGGTGTATCGTTATGCAATGTTTTCTCAGTCAGATATTAAATGGTCATATGTTTGGTCACTTCCTCAGAAATTCTTTCTAACAAATAAAGGTAAAGAAATATCCTATAAAATTATTCAAAGATTTTATCCAGTTAAATACTTTTTAAAGAAATTTAGAAGTGATATTGATACTTCCTGCTCTTTTCGTGAAGCCTCCTCTGAAACTGTTGATCATTTGTTTTGGGAATGTCTTTTTACTCGGTCTTTCTGGAATATATTGATGCTCTGATTGTCCGAAAGGTTTTTTGTAACTTTTCTTTATCATATAGACACATTCTTTTTGGGTTTTATGTCGAAGACAAGAATCTAGTTATGCACGTTTTTGTATAAACCTTCTTTTAAATATTGGAAAGTTTCATATCCATAAATGTAAAAATATGAAAGTAAACCCCACTTAAGCTTTTTTGAAGATGTATTTAAATACAAATTCAACTTCTGGTAACAAGAAAGCAATGAAAACATCCAGAATTTGTGCCATGTTTAATATTCTCCCTTAATGTTTTTTCTTTTGTGCCCTCTCCTTTTTTCTTTTTTCTTTCTTCTCTTACTCTTTTTCTTTTTAAGACTATTGTTGAATAGATTTAAATTTCTTTCACATTTCCTCTCTTAATGTATTCTGAACCACAATTTCTCTTTTGTTTTGAAAGATTGTTTATATTTCTTGTATGTATCGACTTGTTCTGTTTGTTAATATTGCAATATAAAAGAAAAAAAAAGTTTTCTCAGTCAAATCATACAATTTCCTATTGATTCAATAGAACGCGTGAGCTCACTAGGGAATACCAATATGGCGGCGCGGTGGCTTCACTGTTTATGACGTCATGAGCTACATCAGTGGTTTGCACGCGTATTGACGTAGGCTATGAAAACATGAAGAAACAATAATTTTGTAAATAATACAAATAATCTTATTTTTATTCATTATTGGCTTCTGTAGATGGACTTCTCTACATGCCACACTCATTTACTGACGACCTACACCAGTGATCATGTGTGAAAACACATACATAAATTGATCACATAGAAATCAACTCAGTTTTGAGAAAGAAAGAAATTAATTTTACCCCCTTGAATTTCTGTTTATAGTGCAAATATATATAGGCCTATATATATATATGTGGGCTAATCATTTTATGTTTGTGTGTAGAGTACTACTAACAATTTTTGGATGAGTTAAAATAGTTTTGAATGTTGACAATACACATTACATTTTGTAGTATGGATCATTCATTGCAACATTTATCCTCATTCTCATGTTTAAGAATCTGTTATCTGCTTGACATATCATTTATGCTACTGCTGCCCACTACTTTTAAAGGGGTCATATAATGCCATTTTTGTACAAGCTAATATGATTCTTTAGGGTCTAAAGTTTGTAATATACTTTAATTAAAAATTCTCATTAGTATTGTAAGAAAACACTTATTTTACCTGGTCAAAAACAGCTCTGTTTTCAGCACGCCGTTTCAGTGCATATGACTTTAAATGATAATGAGCTTTGCTCACCCCGCCTCTCTGTTCTGTGCATACACCGTTTGTAACTCAATAACACAATAACCATAACGCGTTGTTCAGTATAAACGTGGAATTATGAATTATATTGAGAACGTCGTACATAGAAAACATGCTGTAATGTACCCTGAGTGTAAACCTTAGACGCATTCATTGTGAAGCGTGCAGCTAGCGATTTGCGAAGATTAATATATTAATATAAAGTTTAATAAAACGTTACACTCACTTCCGTTCTTCTGGAGATTCAGCAGGAACACGAATATCTGGTACCGATCCTTTTTTCATGAGCAGCTTCTTAGCAAAACCAGCTTTATACTGACCCTAGTTTATAAAGCAGTCTGGTGTGAAATGATTCGCGCAAACATGAGAGCATTGACGTTGCTCGTTGGGAATATTCCCTTCGAAAACAAACTCAGCCACTGCGTCTTCAGCGGTTCGGATTTAGGAACATTAAATGACTGCTGTGTTCGTTATTACACCCAAGAACAGAACACCACAATCGCTTAGACGCCATTCTGCTCATAGACAGTGCTCCAGCATATCAACAATGACCGCGCCGGTCCGTGCCGCGCAGACTATGATTGACAGCTCGAGCTATCAATCATAGTCCTCGACTATGATTGACATATCCCTCATGAGCGAGGGCGGGTCTGTGTTGAAACGCTCCTGTCAATCAACAATCGTGGGAGGGGCGTGCGAGCTTGTGACGTCACAGGCTCGAACGGCTCGATTTGAGGCAGGGGAAAACATATAAGGAGATTAAAACAAAACCACTGGATGGATTTTTATCATTATATGATGGTTGTGTACAGACACTGCCAACACACATTTCAGTACAATCAACTTGTAAAAGTGCATGTACCATTATATGACCCCTTTAAAGCTATTGTTATCCAATTTGTTGGCCTTCCAACACCTTAAAAAGCACATATGTAAAATCAAAATTTTCCCCTGAATTTCGCCCCTGCCTGCAGCACTGTAGCACAGCAAAGAAACACATTGTTGTTTTCTGTACAACTGTCTTTGTGTGTGATAACAATGACTCATTCTTTGGGATATGAAATTTATATTTAATTGACCTATCAGTAAGCCCCGCCCTCCTTAGTTACTGTTGCTATCTCAGACAAACAATGGGGGACCTGTGCCCCAGTAGAGCTTTATGTCTCTGGCAGCACCTCACAGTAAAATCTCCCAGAGGAGAAACCCTCTTTTGTCAGGATGCAAGGATAGAAATCAAACCTCTTGACATTGTGTGGGATGTCTTGCTTTTAGTCTCCATGTCTGGTCTCAGACAGGATGAGCTGTATCAGGATCCAGAATCACATCCAATTGAAAGAGAAACCAGAATATATGAGTCACAGCTTCAGAATTCAAAGATTTTGATGAGTTAAATATTCAAAACAAAGATGTTTGACAGAGTTCAGCATTTGAATTTAATCACATTGTTGTTAAGAATTATTTTAGTGCTGCATCCACTGCAGCTCTGAGACAAGATTTTATTAATATTTTGAATTCGTTTTTATGTTTTCCAGTTTCATTTTTAGTTAAAGTTTTTAGTAATTTTGCCATTTTTTTGTCTATACAGTTATGTTTAGTTGTTTTAGTACATCAAGATAAACTAAATGAGAAATGTTAGCTGCAATCAATTTGAAAGAACTCAGATCATGCACATTACCACTAAACTGAAATCATTAAAACATGTTTTGAATGTTTGAGAGATGCCAATGTTTGAATGTTTTGTTTTTGATTCAAATTTTACATTTTTAATCGCTCAGTGAAGAAAAACACTCAAATAAATCATGTGTTAGGAAACGGCATTTCCAGACAAATATAAAACGGACGCCATTCTGACAATGAAGTGATATACCAAGCCATTATTGACAAAATGGAATACATTAATATTTCAATATTGTCCTATTAATCTAATATTTTACTTCCATTCCTGGAGAGCGAAAATGCATCAGTTACATTTGAGCAATAAAGTGCTTTGCTTTAAATGTTATATCATCTGGTCATTTTTAACAACGAATACATTTCTGAGGAAAAGTGTTTAGCTGCTGCACAAATCTTTAACATAAACACGAGCTAACACAGCGTTAAGATACTTACATTGATTTACATTTAATCCAGCTCTGACTGTGAACTAATCAAAGTTTAACTGTCGTCAGTTAAAAAAGTGTCAGTAGCAAAAGTTAATGCTGCTCAAAAAAAAAAAAAAAACGTTTCCTGGTTGTTTTAACACCCTGACGTGATTGGACAAACAATAGGGTCCTGATGGTTTTATCTATTGTCTCAGTATCATACAAAACATCAAAATAATAGAGATAATGGTGTTTTTTACATATATTTTTGTGTGAATTACTGTCATGATTCAATATGATTCATCAATAAAACAAATTTAAAATTCATCTTTATTTGAGCTGTTACTGTAATGTTAGAAACATGATTGTGAAAAGAAATGTTCTGCAAGCAAAAAAAACTTTCATTATTTTATTACAAATGACAATTGTTGTACATTTTTTCTACAAATGGTTATCATTGACTAAAATCCACTTATTCTTGCTGACAGGTGAGATGATCAGTGGGGCTGAATTTGTATCTCCATTATTAAAGCCTGGGCTGAAGTAAGGATAGAGTTTCTCTGTAAAAGACTGATCGGTGAAAGAGTAGATATGAGACCTGGCCTCCACATCATAAAAGGAGACCAGACCCTCCTCATAATCCACAAACACACCCACCTTCTGGGGCTTCACTCTCAGGGAGAGAGACACAGACAGACAGTCACAGGCCTTGTACTCGCTTCCATTCCTCAACCATAGAGTCCAGAGTCCATTCCTTGGACTCAGAGTGATTATTCCCTTCCTGATAACAGACTCCCTTGCCACACCTAAGTCCCACTCAGTTTTCCCTTCTACTTGCACCTCAAAATAAAATTTCCCTGAGGAGAATCCCTCCTTCCCCAGGACACTGGGACATTTATCAAACCTCCATGGATTGTCTGGGACAATCTGTCGTGTTTCTCCATATCCAACTTGTTTGTCATCTTCAGACAAGAGGAGTTTTGGGTGTGCAGTTTCAGGATCCATAGTCACAATCACTGAGAGACACATCAGAACATGTACTTAGCAGACTACACATACTTGTGTAGTACGGGATAAACAATACAACCATAGTAGCTATACGGGTATTGCATTCACTTTTTCTTTTTGTTATTGTCCCATTAAAACTTCCTGGAAATGTTTTACAATGTGTGTTCGTCATTTATATTAGCTACTTTTCAAATGCCCTTTATGTATAGATTACACTTGTCCCAGACTTTCAATCTTAAAATATTATTTATTACTTTTAGTAAAATGTATATTTTAGATGTATGTGTATATCCAATGCTGGACATTGTTTGTAGACAAATTAAACTAGTGAGATGTTTTTTTTATATATAGTTCACACAGTCCAAAGTAACCAATTTTGCAAATTGTACAACAGAGGGGCTCCCAAATATCTAGTGAGAATCTTGGCCTTTTGGTATGCTCATCAGTCCATGTATGTGAAGTGGGGTAACTCTATGTCTGCCTCATTTAATATAAGTAATGGAGTTAGGCAGGGAAGCATTTTGTCTCCCTTTCTTTTTAATATTTATATGGACGACCTATCGAAGTTGCTAAACAGTTGTGGAACAGGTTGTAGGGTTGGGGACACCATTGTCAACCACCTAATGTACGCGGATGACCTGGTCATTCTTTGTCCATATAGTGCTGGCCTTCAACAGCTACTAAGGGTATGTTCCCAATATGGCTTGGACTTTGATATTACGTTCAACTCTAAGAAGAGCCATATAATGATTGCTAGAAGCAGGGAGGACAGTAAACTCTCATTTCCTGCTTTTTATCTGTCTGGTAGTTTACTTAGAGTGTGTAATGAGGTCAAGTACTTAGGACACTATATAACTGATGACCTGTCTGATGATAGGGACATTCATAGACAGTATTGTATGTTGTACGCACAAGCGAATATGCTGAATCGCAAATTTAGTATGTGCTCACTTTTTGTGAAGACTACACTTTTTAAAGCTTTTTGTACTCCGATGTACACTGCCCACTTGTGGCGCCGCTATAAAAAAAGCAGTATGCAGAAACTCAAGGTGGCATATAATGATGGTTTGAGGCTGCTGCTTAAATTGCCACGAGGGGGCAGTGTTAGCCAAATGTGTGTAAGTGTCAATGTATTCACGTGCCCTGCTGTACTTAGGAATCTCATGTACAGATGTATGTGTAGACTAGTAGAGTCACATAACAGCATCATCGCAACATTAGTGAACCCTGCTTTGAGTGCAGTTAGGTTCACTTCGGTTTTGTGGAATCACTGGCGCTTTAGTCTATATGCTAATATTTGAACACCGTTTTTGTGTATTGTGGAATTCTGACTGTGTAGTCATTTTCTTACAATTTTTTATCTTTTTTTTATTTTGTATGTACTTTATCTTGTATAGTGCTATGGACCATTTTATATGTATGTCCTGAATAAAGAAATGATGATGATGATGATGATAACCATAGTTGAGGAAACACCCATACATCTATAAATGTGAAAATGTTTGTGCATGCATGTTAAAAATGAAGGGAAATGGCACAGATGACTTGTACCTGTAAACTTCTCAATCCTCCTCAGCTCTGTGGAAACAATTTATACATTTGATTAGTATTCTCTAAAGAACGTAAATAAGTTGTAGAACAGTACCAGTTTTAGCTTTTAAAGCATAATTAAATTAAAATAATTCAATATAAAAATGCTAGAAAAACCAAGCTGTTCTCATTTTAATCATAACAGTGAGAAGCTCACCAGCTCCTGAAATCTTCACCATTGCACCATTGAGAAATTCTTGATGCTTTGATAGAGCTCTCCTCAGAGCGTCCTCCCTCAGATTAGCGTCAGTACTGATCCCAGTCCAGATCTTGGTGTCTAACGGGCTGCACAGGGATGGATAAATCTACAGCGGGAGAGAAGCATGTTGAGTGTTGTCCTGTGATGTGCTGCGAGCAGAGAGACCGACACTGACCTGTAGGAGGTGCAGGTGATCTTCAGTGTGTGAGAGCTGCTCCAGCTCAGTGTTTCTTCTCTTCAGCTCCATGATCTCCTGCTCCAGCTCTTTAATGAGCTCTTCAGCCTGCTTCTCTTCTGCTTTCTGCTTCTGCTCCATCACCTCCAGCAGCTCAGACTGACAGCTCTCAATGGAGCGGATCAGATCCGTGAACAGCTCAACACAGTCCGCTTTCTCTTTTTCAGAGCTTTGCTAAATAAAGGACAATGTACAGTCAGTCTTATGACATGGATACCAAGCAGGTAAATAACTATGTGGACGTGACATGAATTATTGATTTGAATTAAAAGGTAATTCTCACAGGTAATTTTTGTTGCAACTGATAAATGAGATGCAAGAGAGAATACACTAGACAGACAGACAGATATAGATAGATATTCTATTGCAACTATTCTTATCTCTATGTTTATTTATACCCAACATTTTATATCACAGCTCTTATTTTCACTTTGAATAAAATGATACCATTTTCACTTTTCTACTGTCCAGTGACAATTCGGAAAACGCTTATACAGTAACGACCGTAACTTGAACAGAACATTTTTCCATCATGCATTTTTCCTTTTCCACTGCACTGCTTTTTCATTGTTTAAACACGCGCTAGGGTAGACGGACGTGTTTGACAGTTGCCCAAAGCTGATCTTAAGGTAAACAGCGCATTCTTATTTCAGTGTTGTTATTTAAGCAGACAGTTTGCCTTGTGCATTCAGCAAGGTTTAAACTGAACTATGCATATGCATTTTATACACTTATATTAGATTCTTGGTCCGTTCATGCAATAAATGTACGTCCTTAAAAGCACATTTCAACTGCTCATGGTATGACCTATTTTAGTGGGGGCAAACGACACTTTAATATCAGTCAGAGATTCATTCATGAAGATAAATTAAACTCCCCGTTATTAGCACCTTAATAGCACGCAAATATTTCTGTCCAATTTTGCTTGTGTGACAGTTAATACTGAAAAATACTGCAATTTTCTGGTGTTATTTTTTGATTGGTCAGGGCATTCTACAGCACTTCATCAAACTTTTCAACACACAGCCCGCCTCAGGCTCAGATTGTTTTTAATCAATGCCCAAATCGTAGAAATATTCTAAATTCTGATTGGGACGTTTGGGTGAATGAGAATGCATGATGTGCTGAACTCTTATCTTGGTCACAAGACACTTCCTCTATATATATTACTCAATTCCTGTAAAAGGTCTACCTTTATAGATTCTGGAGGAGTCAGGTAGGCATATAATATTCTCTTCTTTGATTATATTATCTCAGGGTCTACTCTGATCTCTACAATAAACATCAGCAAATAAACAGACTGGGACAAAACTATTCAGAGTTTTGAGGGCAGTCCACATTCTCATTTTATTATTTCTTGCGTGCATTTAAGAAAATCAGGTTTCTTTTTCTGAGGGTTGTGGTCTGTGGCTGGCTTCTGCTTCCTGCTTGCTCTCTCCAGAAGATCTTACACAAACACACACATCTAAAACTCTGCTAGAGAGCTCAAAAAGGCCCCATTTTATAATCACTAATGACACAAAATATCTCTTCATTTGCGTACATGTTGCTTCTACTTGCGTCAACATATGTCCTGCGTGCGTTGATTGTTACATCACTTGCTTCAATGCTTGGTTTTACCTGCGTCAATGCTTTCCTGTTTGCATCAATGGCATTAGCAATACACACATTTTTTATTGTTCAATTTATCAGTTTTCTACCTTTCTAGACGATTAACTCCTAACTGTTGTTACACACAACAATGCTCCTGTTCCCCAGAACCCATGTTCACCCACACACATAATGCAACATACGTCATTTTTACAGGATGTGGTCTATACATCTGTGCAGACTATATATTTTTGTCTCCTTATGAAAACTTCATGGCCCCTAGAGATTTTCCAAGATCTGTAATTTTCTTCTTTTTATTATATCTTTTCTTATAATTTAGATCTTTAAATAATTGTTTAGAAGAGAACACTCCATTTCTCTTGACAATGAACTGCTAAAATGTATATCTTGAATGCAATTTATGTACATAATTAAATAGATCAATCAATGTTGTGTTTCGCTCACATTAAAACTTTGAACATGCAACAAGAATTACCTTGCTGAGCTGTACCAAGCATTTGATATCTTCAATTTTCTTCATTCTGTTCTGAATCATCAAATGAACCTCAGCCTGCCTTCTTCCAAACTGAGACTGTGGACAGAAATGAAGTGTTTTTTTAGGCAAATTCATTAAAGTACAAATAAATATAGATAAATCGTCTCTCACCTTCCGTTCTTCACTCTCTTCCTCTACAGTAACAGTGTTGTGGGTTTTGTGGTCTTTTATCGTACACGACGTGCACACACACATCTGATCATCTCTGCAGAACAGCTCCAGGGGACTCTCATGCTTTGGGCAAATATAGTTCTCCAGATTCTCCACTGGGTTGATAAGTTTGTGTTTCTTCAGTTTTGCTACGGTGTTATGAGGCTCTAGGTGTGTTTTACAGAAAGATCCTTCACAATGCAGACAAGACTTTAAAGCACCTCTCTTTATTTTTGTGCAGGCATCACATGGTATTACTCCAGGTTGGACAGGACTTTCTACCCTTTTCAGTTGTTCAATGAGATCTCTGAACTCTCTGTTGATGTCAAGATCTGGTCTCAAGTGAAAGTCCTTCTTGCAAAGGGGGCATCGAGTCTCCATACTGCTGTCCCAGTGTTTACTGATACATTCCATGCAAAAGTTGTGTCCACACGGGATGGTTGCTGGGTTGGTGAAGAAATCCTGACATATTGAACACAGGCACTGTTCTGCAGCCTGGGAACTGCTGGAAGAAGCCATCACTGGAGGGAGAGGAAAATAATGATTGTACAAAGCATAGAAATACACACTTAGGATATAAGATAACTCTGCCTGTCCCTCCCTTTTAAACAAATGTAACCTGTCAAACCGGTTTTGAGACAGGATGTGAAATGCAGCATCTAGTTTAATTGACATTACACAAAAGATTTGCACTACAAACAAATTACATTTGAAAATGGCACATTTGCACAATTATTCACATTAAAACAAATCATCAAATGCATCAATTAACAAGCACAAAAAAAAAAGAACACGTTTTCCTTACCTCTAAGTTGGTGTGTCTGTGGTGTGCAGCTGTGGTGTACTGCAATTGGAAGGAGTGTACATTGCCACCTGTTCCTCCTCATTGTACGTCACCTTCTTTTATAACATCATAACCCCTCCCATGCAATTATGTTGCAACTGACTATACTCTGGTGTATTGTGCAGTAACATACTATCATTTTAAGGCTGACTGATGTTCTCAGTAAGATGCACACTGTGAGATGAAATCACAGGGAAATCTTTTAAATAATCTGTATGTAATATGTTCTGCGTGAACTACTACTTATAGGTTTTAAAGGTAATAAAAGAAGGGCTGCAGCATGTTTACATTCAGCTTGAAAAACAGATCAAGGGCTTTACAGAGACAAACACAATTATTTGTATTCAAATTGTAAACAAATATTTTCTTATGCTCAAGATACTTAACTTTATGTACCTACACAGCAAAGAACACACATCACAAGTCATGATTATCTAATTGATTGATTTATTTTCAGAATACAATACAGGAATGTTAACTCCTGAACATCTGAAATAATTTGATCTGGAATTATTTTAAGTGAAATATATAAGAAAAAAAGATCAATATCAATATGGATTAAATTAAACCGTCCACTTATCAGCCAACTGGGCCCATCTAGCTCTAGTTAAGTGGGGAAATGGGTTTCATTTCTTTTACATTCATTCTAATCTGCTCCATCAGCAAATTTCAATCATAATCAATGAGAACGCTAACTGTAATGGAATATCAATAGTGTAAACAGTATAACAAAAAGACAAAGTATATCTAATGATCAAACCAGGCTAAAATGCATAATACTATGACAAAAACTGATTAAGACTTCGAAAGATTGTGTAATACCACTGTATTTGCAACATACAAACACAGGAGAAACTGTTAAAAGGGTAAAAAATACCCTTGGTTCTTTGGTCTTCAAATATATGCTATATAATAGAATGGTAGTACATAACGGATGTCTTTAGCATATTGTATAACAGACCGCTAATACTGTAATAATCTATTAAAGCATTTGAGTTGGTCCAGGGAGAATAGAATTTCAAATCAGAAAATCCCAGAATTATAAGACATTAGGCATAGACAGTTAGATAAAATTCACAACAAAGTCTGAATTATTTGGATAAAATATAAGGCTCTAATTAATAGAGTATCTTGTCTAAGGTTGTTTAGACAAATTACCTGAAAATGAACTCAAGATTTCAGATTATGACCTAAAACACAAACTGCACAAAACTTACACTATCAGTAGAGTGTCCTTGAATACTTCAATTCTAAACTTCTAATTTCAAACTTAGAAGTTTCCAAAGACTGAATAATCCAAAAAAAAAAATGAAAGCCCATGTTGTGGCCAATACAGCATCTGGTGAATTCAAAAGCTGACGTGTGAACCCAAAAATACACATGAAATGTTAATTGACAATGTAAGGTATATGTGTGTGTGTGTGTGTGTGTGTGTGTGTGTGTGTGTGTGTGTGAGAGAAAGAACAAGCATATGTGTGCATAACTGTGGAGAGAATAAAATGACCTTTGCATGGATTTGGCATACTTTGGCCCAATATGGACCTGGTTAGACCTTAGAACTAACTTAATTATCATTACCAAACACTGTGTTGAGTTGTTGGGTCACCCTAATGAAGGTGGTACGACGACTCAGCTCTTTCAGCTTAGCAGCACCCACGTACGTGCAGGTGGAACGAACTCCACCCAGGACATCTCTCACCGTCACCTCCACAGGCCCTTTGTAAGGCACTTCAACCGTTTTACCCTCCGATGCCCTGAAAACACAATAATGACAGCCATTATTATATGATCTAAATCGAGTTGTGTTAATGGTCTGAAAATCGTTTTAAACCAGAATACATGGTTTTAAATCAAACTGGCCATTCGCTTTCATACTTAGGCTTGTTTTTTGCGTGATCATTATTTACCAAGTAACATAAATGTAATGCAATGTACAAACCACTAGATAAAATAATCAACAAGCTTCCAGCATTTGCTTACCTATACTCTGCTACACCTCCTGCATGCCTTTTCATGGCCGTGTCTGAACTCATGCCGTAGAACAGTTTGTACTTTGTGCCGTTTTTCTCTATGGTTTCGCCCCCACTCTCAGAATGGCCAGCAAGCATTCCTCCCAGCATCACAAAGTCAGCCCCCGCCCCTGTCACACAGTTTAGCCAATCAAACACAAGCCAAAAAAATCACTGGTTGAAACGGGAAGAGAAATATTATTTTCCTGTGTGTATTAAGTCAATACCATTGCTTATACACGATTAAATTAGTTAATTTAGCATGAGGTACAGAGATTACCTATAACTTTTAAAGTGAAAGATACATTTTGTTTTTGCTTTTGAAATTAGCACTCAGTTCTGAAAACAGTTTGCAGTTTGTCCCTGAAGGGAGGATGTGTAGAAAGGATATTTTTTATCATTCACAGTATATGTTCTTTATGTTTTAGCTTTTTGTTTATTTTATTTTCAACATGTATACATAACTGTGTAAATCAATATTTGGAGAAATTGTATGAAATCTGTGAAAATCAATATTTCGGGAAAATTCTATGAAATCTTATTGTATGTTGTTTTCTTTCTATAGCCATATACTGTGAAAAAAGAAGTACTGAAAAATACTTCTTTCTGTAGTCAAGGTCAGTAGGCCTGGGAAAAGTCTATGGAGTCAGATAAAATGTTTCCAATTAAAAAACCTTTACATGCATAAGGTAGGCATATTATGGGATGTTGAGAAAGACCAAGGTGGACAAAGATGAAATGGGTGTGGTAAAAAAAAAAAAAAAAAGTAGGAGGGCTTATGGTAATCTGTCCATTTGCTTATGAAATAATTTTTTTATGTCTTTATTCAATGATAAATTAATATGTATGATTGTGCTGAATAAATACTCTATATTTTAGAGCTCATTTTGTAGCTCTCTGAAATACACTTTGGTAGTGGACTGTCCTAGATCATGATCACAGAAAAATAAATCTTGTTTGATTTTACCACTGAGAGACCTGACTTTATTTAACAGATGAATTTCCACCACTTTACCAACAGCTGAAAATGTGTCCTTCACAGGTAGTAAGGCAAAAAGGAATGTCCGAGTCCAATGTTCAAACTAGAAGGATTCCACTGGTGATTGTTTTCGGCGACACAGTTGACCCTCAGGTTTTGAATGGTCGTATATAAAAATTGTTTGAATGCACATCAGAAATGTGTATTTATACTTTAATTGAGTTCATGTCATAACTAATAAATTTGTAACATTCACATTGTTATTGAACTAAACTGAATCAACAGTGAACAAAATTGAGCTGAATAATGATTCTACTGTCTTTTTTGAGCTGCTTTACAGCTGATGTTGTATTCCTTTCATAATTGAAGAACTTTGAAACATTTATACTGTTATTTTCTTGTTTAATACTGTGAAGTTGCTTTGAAACAATCTGCTTACTGTAAAATCTGTATACTGTAAAAAGTACTATATAAATAAAGGTGACTTGACCTGATGTGATTATGCCGCTTATACTATGATTACTACCCAGCATGGATAAGATAAAGCTGTCATTGATGCTTGATGTAGACTGGTAGGGTTAGAATAAGTTGATATGTACTTGCAAAGCTACTTATAGACAGTAGAATGTCTGTTGAAGGACCATCACAATAAAGAGTTAGCAGATATTAAGCAGACAGTCTACTAATGATCTAATGAGAGTCAGTTGACATGGAGTTGCAACGTTACTTATAGTCAACAGAATGTTCAAAAGAGACCATCAAAATAAAGTGTTACCAAATATCAATATAAAATATAATGTAAATTTTTATATATTTTTTAGATAAAAAAATATAGTGTAGCTTTCAGTAGCGAAGTTATTTATTTTATATACAAAATTCAAGGGCAGCAGCTCAAAACAAGTGTCTGTGCTCCTGAATGTTTCATTGTGTACACAATCTCTTGCCTAAATATAAAGTCTCTGCCTCAATAAAAAAATGCTGTTAGTTTTTGTGTGACTGAGTACAGGCACGTCAGCTTATCTTTGTGGGAAAATGTGCTTCTCTGGCCTTGTGGTGGCTTGGAATTCCACGGGGAATCGGATATATGTTTTTAGACGCAAGTCAGATGTCCAGATTTTGGATATGTATCTGATTTAAAACCACATTTGGAAGTGGTCCAGAAGAGATACAAAAAATTCTGATATTGTGCTGATTTTTGTCTCGTTTGCAACAATATCTGATCTGTGTTAAAGCCCACGACTCACCAAATGCCTTGGAGACGTCACCTGGGCAGGTACATCCTCCATCCTACAGAAAGACAAAAACAGATGAGCCCAACATATACATGATCAAACATTCTTTTTACACAAAGCATGCAAGTAGCAATGTGGGAATGTTACTACTAATTTCTATTGAAAGAAGTTTGCACTCAAACACAAGAGTCTCACAGATATGATGTGTCCACTCAGGCCGTGTGCAGCGTCAGCGCACTCAATGACTGCACTCAGCTGAGGATAACCCACACCGGTCTTCTTACGAGTGGTGCACACAGAACCTACACACATGAAGATATTTGTGAAAATGGTGTAATGTGAATTGGAACACCATCTGAAACTTTGTCAATAATTGACTGATGATGTCACCTGGTCCAATGCCCACTTTGATGATGTCAGCACCAGCAAGAATCAGCTCTTCAACCATCTCTCCAGTGACCACATTGCCAGCCTTCAAAATATTAAGATGATTGCTAATAAGATAATGCAAACAAAATGTTTAAATGTTGACGTTGAAAGGTAACTGACCATGATCGTGTGTGTAGCGAACATCTGCCTCACATCTTTCACAAAGTTGACAAAGTGTTCGGAGTAGCCATTGGCTACATCCACACAAATGTACTGAATTTGAGGTACAGCAGCAATAATGGCCCCCAATCTCTCAAAATCCCCCTCACTCGTCCCTGTGCTGACGGCTACACTCTGGAGACAGAAAGAAAGAGGAAGTTTGTCTGAGCCAGATCATCTAAAAATCAACAATCTAGAGAACCATAGACTAGATTATAAAATCTAGGAAAGATGCTGCTCACCTGTAAGCATTCTGGGTGCTTGGCAGCAAACTCCTTCCAGTCATCCACACAGTAATGCTTATGTATGGCTGTAAAGAGAGTAAACTACAAAAGAATGATTTCAATTTAATATATAACGTATATAATATATAAACACCTGCAGTCTGTTAAATAGACAAAAGGGTATAAAAAATAATAAAAACCTAAATTATAGCTATCAACACTTCACTTCACTTTATCCTCTTAGAAAACCAAAAATTAATTTCAAACATCTGTTCTCTTTCATAGGTTCACTCAACGCTGCGGAAAGCGCAGTGGGATATCCTCTGGATGTGCCGATTGTCTGAAGCCCTATAGAATCACGCCAATCCATTGGCTGATGGCGCTCGCGCAAAGCTGGCTCCGCCCCGACGCTCTTACGTCGTAGCATGATGTACGCGCGCGCGCCATCTTCTCCTCAGATTTCTCTGCCTTCACGAAGCGGTCACATCTCGCCCTTCGTGCGGTTTTTCTGAGCCCGAATTCTTCAATTCAATTTCAGCTTTCGTCTCGACACTTCAGCGACTGGTATAAGTGGAACTCTGTTCTCCTTACAGTGAAGTGTCATGGATTATCGACGCTGCTCTCCGCCATGCGTTCGTTTCATCTCGAACGACGACCCTCACAGTAAGTGTGTTAAATGTATGGGTTTTTCGCATGCGCGTGAGGCTGTAATAGGATTGTCGAAATTTAAATTTTGTGACAATCTCCTTCTCAAAACCCTCCGCTCTAGACTCGCGGTTTTTGAGAAGGAGACATTCGTTTCCCCCCGTCGCGCTCCCGAGACTGCTGAGGCCTCTCGTGGATCCGCGGCCTGGGGTTCGGATGTTGAGCTCGAGGATATTGAGTATGAGCAGACGGGCCTCGCCCTTTCTCTCCCTCCCTCTCCCGAGCACGCACGCGGCGCGGTTGAATTCGCGCATGATTATTTATGTCCCAGCCCGGGAGCCCGCGAATCGGTTTCTTTCGGTCTGGATGACGTTATTTACACTGCAGCCTCCGACTCCGAGGATTTCGGGCCTGCTCTGGCTGATGACGTTATCCCGCCTAGCGGCCAGGACGCGCGGCCTACTCCGGCCTACACTGAGCTTATTGAGGTGCTGTCGCGCGCTACAGAGAAGCTCTCTATTGACTGGCCTGATGAGCCCCGCGAGTCTCAATCGTCCAAACTCGACGAGAGGTTCCTACGTGGCCCTAATTCTAGGCCAGAGCGAAGAAAGCTGCCCTTTTTCAGCGATCTGCATCACGAGATCTCCAGATCCTGGAAGCAGCCATTCTCCGCACGCCTAACTAATGCGGCAGCCGCTGACTTCACCAACCTTGTTGGTTTTGTGGAGCAGGGTTATTCCGCTATTCCAGCGGTCGAGGACACGCTGGCTAACCACCTCGCCCCGTCGTCTGCACCGTCTTGGAAGGCGCGTCCCCTTCTTCCTTCCAAGGCTTGTAGGACTACTTCCTCCCTTATTGGGAAGTCTTACATGGCGGCTGGTCAGGCAGGCATGGCCCTGCATACCATGGCCATCCTTCAAGCCTACCAAGCGGACGTCTTGAAGGACATGGATGAAGGAGAGGGACTGACGCCCGAAGCTGTCAAAGAGCTTCGCAAAGCCACAGATCTGGCCCTAAGAGCCACCAAGCACACTGCTCGGGCTGTAGGTCGCTCTATGGCGGGCTCGGTTGCTGCAGAGCGCCACCTCTGGTTGAATCTCACGGAGATCCGAGACAAGGATAAGAGTTTCCTCCTGGATGCCCCTATCTCCCACTCAGGTCTTTTCGGGGAGGCGGTCAACACGGTGGTTGACAAGTTCCGCGCCGCTAAGTCTCAGTCGGCCGCGTTCAGGCAGTTTATGCCCAGGAGGGTCAGAGGGCCCAGTGACTCCAATCCTCCCCCTTCTCAAACCCGAGAACGCTCTGCTCATAGGGCTGAGTTCCCTACTAGCAGGAGTGACCCGGCTCGCCACCCACCAACTACTGTCTGGGGAGCCCGAGGTCGTCCATTTCCTCGCCAGCGCCCTCACAAGCGCCTTCAGCTGAAGCGGTCCAACAAATCGGCCGCTCCAGCCTCCTCGAGCCGTTCCTGACCCGCAGGGCAGGAAGAGGAGAGCCTCATCAGATCTACGAGGTTGGGACAGACCGCGCAAGCGTTTCTGCCCTCCTCCAGCCGGCTCTCCTCATCCAACCCTGTCACCTTCGCCACCCAGCGTGTTTCGAAGTGCAGGTCCTGTTTCACTCTCTTCACCCAGTCCGGCGCAGGAGGAAGGAGACGCATCTTGCTTTCTCCCCTCGTTCCCGGTGCACGTTACACCCGCCAATCGCTTCCTCAGAGGCACAGTTCTTTTTCCTCTGGAGCAGGCGGACCCGGTTACTTCTATCCAGGTGGTGGTACCCCCCAATACGTGTCAGGACGCCAAGCGCTCTCCTCCACGGTCAACCGCGCCTCCCCATGGAAACCAGCGCGACACCCTACCTCAGGTATGTCCCTTGCACTGCAACACTCCTCTGCCTCTATCACATTTCGTTCAAGAATGGGAGCGTTTACCAGGGGTATCGCCTTGGATCCTTCGCACAGTTCGGCTCGGCTACACGCTTCAGTTTTGTCGCAACCCCCCCTGCTTCAACGGGGTCTTTCCTACTGTAGTCGACAGCGCCGCTCAGGCTTCTGTACTACAGCAGGAGATTTCATCCCTTCTGCTGAAGGGGGCGATAGAAGAGATTCCTTCGGGGGAAGTCGAACAGGGCTTCTACAGCCGTTACTTCCTGGTCCCGAAGAAGGGGGGCGGCCTGCGGCCGATACTAGATCTTCGCCGGTTGAATTTCTCTCTTTACAAAGGAAAATTCAAAATGTTGACGCTGAAGGCCATCATATCTCATATCCGGCGGGGGGACTGGTTCGTGACGGTAGACCTCAAGGATGCTTATTTCCACATCCAGGTCGTACGGCGACACAGGAAGTTCCTCAGGTTCGCCTTTGGAGGGAAAGCGTACCAGTACAGGGTCCTCCCCTTTGGCCTCGCTCTAGCGCCAAGGACGTTCACAAAGTGTATGGATGCTGCTCTGGCCCCGCTGCGGCTCCAGGGCATCCATATACTCAACTACCTGGACGATTGGCTCCTTTTAGCCCACTCCAGAGAGTTGGTGACTCACCACAGGGACATTGTCCTCCGTCATATTCAGTCTCTCGGTTTGAGGCTGAATACGGAGAAGAGCGTTCTTACTCCAGCTCAGAACACGGTTTTCTTGGGGGTATGCATGGACTCCGTTCTTATGCAGGCCCGTTTGGCTCCTGCACGGATTTCCAGTCTGGTGACATGTCTGTCCCGTTTCGCACTAGGCCAGCATGTTTCCGTGAGCACCTGCCGCAGACTTCTGGGCCTTATGGCCGCGGCCTCCCCTGTGCTACCTCTGGGGCTGCTCCACATGAGACCTTTTCTGTGGTGGATGAAGCTCTCAGGGGCTCGGCCCACGGGGCCAGCCTTTCGCCTATTGAAGGTGTCGCGCAGTTGCTTTCGCGCCCTGTCAATCTGGCGGGACCCCCTCTTCCTTCAGAAAGGAGTCGGTTTGGGTGCGGTATTCCGTCGCCAGATGGTTACGACGGATGCCTCTCTGACCGGCTGGGGAGCGGTTTTCGAGGGCAGGCCAGCGTGTGGGGTTTGGACTGGCGAGACCCTCTCGTGGCACATAAACAGCTTGGAGCTGAGGGCTGTCTTCCTGGCTCTTTGCCACTTTCTCCCTTTCCTCGAAGGACACCATGTCATTGTCAGAACGGACAATATGGCAGTAGTGTCCCATGTAAACAGACAGGGGGGTTCACGATCGCGCACCCTAGACAGGCATGCGCGTCACCTTCTCCTGTGGTCCCAGGACAAGTTCCTCTCTCTGAGAGCAGTTCATGTCCCAGGGATTCTGAACCTCGCAGCAGATTTTCTGTCGAGGCAGAAGCTCAGGTCTGGGGAATGGATGTTGAACCGCCAGTCGGTGGCCCTGATCTGGGAGGTGTTCGGAAAAGCGGAAGTGGACCTCTTTGCATCTCAGGAGTCGTCCCAATGCCCGCTTTGGTTCTCTCTGAGCCCTCCAGCTCCATTGGGGATAGATGCGTTCGCCCACCCTTGGCCGATGCAGAAACTCTATGCCTTCCCGCCCATCAAGCTGATCCAGGCGGTTCTGTCCAGAGTGAGGGAGAGCGAAGTCCGCCTCCTTCTGGTAGCCCCATTCTGGCCGTCCCAGCCATGGTTTTCGGAGCTGATCCCTCTGTTGGAATCCTCCCCCTGGGAGATACCGGTCAGGGAGGACCTGCTTTCCCAGCTTCAGGGCAGGATATGGCATCCTCGCCCCGACATTTGGAAGCTGTACGTTTGGCCTATCAGAGGCCGTTAGCTTTAAGCTTTGATCTCCCAACCGACGTTCAGGAGACTATTGCGAATGCTAGAGCCCCTTCGACGAGGAGGCTATATTCCTCCAAGTGGAGGGTGTTCGAGGCGTGGTGCTTAGCACATGATAGGAACCCAGTTAGCTGCCCAGTAGGCTCAGTGCTGGAATTCCTGCAGGAAAAGTTTGCTTCCGGAGCGGCCGCTACCACTCTCAGAGTGTATGTCGCAGCTATTGCTGCTCATAGAGAATCGGATGAGATTCCCTTGGGGAAACTGAGGTTAGTTTCGGCCTTCATGCGTGGGGTTAGGCGCCTGAAACCGGCTCGCCCCCCTAGTGTTCCCTCGTGGGACCTGTCAGTCGTCCTGGAGGGTTTGACAGAGGCTCCCTTCGAGCCCTTGGAGTCAGCTCCTGAGCGGATTCTGACTCTTAAGGTTGCTCTTTTGTTAGCTTTATCTTCACTGAAGCGGATAGGGGATTTGCAGGCTCTCTCTATTAGTGAGTCATGCTTGGACTTCGCTCCTGGCCTGGTTAGGGTTACCTTGAGGCCGAGGTCGGGGTATGTACCCAAGGTTCTTTCCACGGCGTTCCGCTCTCAGGTTGTTAACCTTAATGCTTTCCACCCTCCTCCTTTTGCCTCTGAGGAAGAAAGGAAACTTAACTTGCTCTGCCCGGTCCGTTCTTTGAAGTTGTATGTAGATCGCTCAAGCGGTTGGAGGAAATCAAACCAGCTCTTGGTATGTTTTGGTGCTGGCCGCCGCGGGCTTGCAGCATCAAAGCAGAGGATTTCCCACTGGGTAACGGACGCTATTTCGCTGGCTTATGAGGTGCGTGGTTTGCCTTCACCTCTTAGCATCAGAGCGCATTCCACCAGAAGTGTGGCTTCCTCTCAAGCTCTCTTTAGAGGGGCCCTCTTGGAAGACATTTGTGTGGCGGCAGGTTGGTCCTCTCCGCACACCTTTGTGAGGTTCTATAATTTGGATCTTGACATGACTCCAGGTTCCCAGGTTCTATCTGCTTGAACCTATCATGGTTGTTATTATTTGGTCTGGTACCGGTTATGGCAGCGCTTAGCTTGGCGAGTTTGGTATTTCGTTCCCACTGCGCTTTCCGCAGCGTTGAGTGAACCTATGAAAGAGAACGTCTCTGGTTACTTACGTAACCTATGTTCTCTGAATAGGGAACGAGACGCTGCGTTCGCTGCCAAGCTCCTCGCGCTGCCGACAGTTTTTCTTTTCGGCAGAGAAATCTGAGGAGAAGATGGCGCGCGCGCGTACATCATGCTACGACGTAAGAGCGTCGGGGCGGAGCCAGCTTTGCGCGAGCGCCATCAGCCAATGGATTGGCGTGATTCTATAGGGCTTCAGACAATCGGCACATCCAGAGGATATCCCACTGCGCTTTCCGCAGCGTCTCGTTCCCTATTCAGAGAACATAGGTTACGTAAGTAACCAGAGACGTTTTCATGCATCTAACCAAAACTGGGTACAGGTGCAGGACACATGACAACAAACGTACAAAAAAAAATTCCACATGCTCACATAATTGCTCTATTTTGACCACTGGACTCCACATCAAGTCATGCTGACAAACTATAGACCAGTGATATTGCGTTTGTGATCATTTTTCTGTTCTTTAACATTTTTTACAATATGAAAATATTTGTTTAGGCTGTTTAGCTGTGTGAAAATTCTAAGAGTTCATTCATACTTGATGTAAGGCTAAAGCCATTTCAAAAGTCCCCACGGTGTCCATGTTGGCGGCGATGATGGGAATCCCACGATAACTGCCCTTCGAGTTTCTGAAAGTAAACCTGCGCATGAGATCCACCTGAAACAGAAGAGAGTGTGGAAAAAAAGTAATGAAAGAGAACCCAAAATGTAGTTAACATTGCACTGCATGTGTGATTGCAATGAAACTTTAAATAAACTGAGGCCAGACTAAACCTGATACTCAATATGTCTCCTTTAATGCAAATTAAAATGTATCAAGAATGACTAACCTCACTGCGAGATTTGAGAGTGCTTCTTTTGGGTCGAAGCAGAACGTCCTTGAAGTCGAGCTTGATATCATTTTCAATACGTGGCATGGCTGCTGAAGAGGATGGCCTTGAGACTGTATCTCACTGTCTGTAACAACACAAGAAAAGAGAAAGAAAAACATTCCCACCACAGTTATGGGAGTTGCAGGGGTTGTGATACACTGTGAGACAGGAAATATCCTTTTTTTATATAAATATCTAAAAAAAATATGGTCAAACTCTTTGTAATACCAAATAGTTATTCCATTTGAGACAGGAGAGTTAACCAATGCATCATAAACTAATCTAATTAAATGACCCTTTAAACGTATCACATCTGGTTATGTGTTCTGCACATGTCTAGTCTAACTGTCAGACAACCAGTCCAAGGCCATAAGAGCATAACTTCTAAGTCGCATTGACACTAAATGTTTTTGCTGTTTATTTCAAACAAATATAAATGCGTTCTTATCCATATACTTTATTTACCAAATAAAAAATTATCCTACCTATAATTGGAGACGTGCACCTCTTGTAGGTATATTCATGAGAGAATGAAACCTGTTTCCGGGTTGGAAGCGGTCATGTTAGGAGGACGGATTTTTACGGCTGTCACAGCGCATGTAGTCTCTGTGCTGACGGCTCCCGCGTGAATTCAAGTTCAAACCTTCCACGAAAAACTACAAAAAACGTTTGCTTCGCAGCTTACTGTCGTAATAAATGTCGCAAATTTTGTACAATTTTCCGGTTACGCAGTTTGGATTCAACTAAAATATAGTATTATTTAGTATCAGTTCAGTAAGCTATGTGATAAATGTAAATAAGCTAAATGTAAGTAATAAAATCTAAAACAATGAGTTAATGTTATAAATTCGAAATCTTCTTCTGGCATCGAATGCCGTTATTCTCCTCATTGCACCTCGGAACTGTTCGTACATACACTAGAATGGTAGGAATTATTTTTCAGTGACACAGGAACTTCTAATACGGTGGTGGTGAAGAAATTGTGGGAATAACTGATTATAGAAATCTGAACTTCTTCTACCGTCAGTTAATTATATTTGCATCCATTTATTCCTGCATGAATTTCTAGAACAAGAGAAGCCACAATGCTAATTAAAGTCAAGGTAAGAATGTAACGAAGAATAACGTAATGCATTTCTTTCAGCACAGTTATTGTCCAGTTCGCCAGTAGCTAATTTAATTATTTCATTAAATATAGTTAGGCGTTGTGAATCAGACAAACGGCCATCTATTAAAAAGTGCATCAGACCTATCAGAAGGAAATCTAATGTCTAAATAAATAACTAATCGTATGCATTGTTTTTAAAGACGCTCACTGGCAAAGAAATCGAGATTGACATCGAGCCCACAGACAAGGTAACGTTACAATATAAAATACTTGAACGATGAACGCTTAGCTGTGTGTTAACACGCAGTCATTTATAGTTTACATTGTAAACGACCATTTGATTTGATGTGTCCATCTTGTTCAGGTGGAGAGAATAAAAGAGAGAGTGGAGGAGAAAGAGGGAATCCCACCCCAGCAACAGAGACTCATCTACAGTGGAAAACAGATGTATGGCATTTTACTCACACGCTCATCCTGCTACAGTACATTTCTTTATCTTTATTCTAAACCCTCCATCTTTTCCACCTCAGGAATGATGAGAAAACGGCAGCGGATTACAAGATCCAGGGTGGCTCTGTGCTGCATCTGGTTCTTGCTCTAAGAGGTGGGCATCTTCACCAGCATCCCAGCAGCCTCCTTCTAACTATGTAACCGCCAGTCCTGCCTTGACCACCTTAGATATCCAGTGTATTTGCACATGTCACTAAAAACCATTTGAACCATCTGGACTGACAAGTGGTAGCCACTATAATCTTTGTTTGTTGGAACATTCATCAGCTTCCTCCTGTTAATGCCACTCCCCCTTAATTTGTTAAGAGCATGACTGTGCTCTTGTTAAGTTTACAAGAAGTGTTAGAAATCAAGGTGAAAATGATGTATCAGTTTGTCAATAAAAATTGATGCAACCCATTTAAGCATGTTGTAAGAATGTCTATTCTTTCATCGTTCAAAGGTTTTACAGTTTTTCCTTAATCACTTGAGCTCAATTCTTGAATTCGAATTTTTCAGATCTTCAGATTCGAATTTCTTATCAATTTAAGCAAATCGCATAAGTGTGGACAAGAGTAAATACAATTTCTTGCTATTTGCAAAATAACTAATTGCACATGGCTTTTCAGTGATATTGTCAAACTCTTCACAACTAATGAACAATCATGTGAGCCATCACATGCAAAATGATCCATTCAGTTCTCAAAATCTTTTAGACGTACATGTATATTCCATAAATATCTATGACATGGAATGTTTTCTGTTCAATTTGCTACAAAAAAACTACTGTATACATAAAAATTGTCATATTTTTTTTCTGTGTATTACGGTATTGCCTTTTTCTAGTAAATTTTTACCTGTTGTTGAAATCTATGTAAAAAGTGCCGTGTGACACAACATTCTGTTATACAAAAGTGGCAAACATTTCCAGGGTTGACTGCCAAAAAACATACGGCTCATATGATGAAATAAAAAATAAAATAAAATCATTTTGGGGGCATTAGCCAATTTACTCACACAATTACTAGGTTTTGGAAGCATAAATTAAATGTTTTGGGTGAGTTACTACATTTTTCAGACATTGAATAAAGTTCTGACAATTGCACAGTTTAGATAATAATGAGCCAACGTGATTGAGAAAAAAACTAATATGAACCCATGTGGTGAATCAATACGTCACCTGCAAACTGAGTTGAAAATCCTTTGAAACTATTGAACAAGCTGACTATAATCTGCCTACAGTAGGTGGCAGTGCTGCACGGTTTTTTAAGCCTAGGAAAGCACAAGTCTTCTTTGGTTCAGCATATAGATTTATTCATATTTTAATACACAGTTCAAACAAATACAAAACCTACAGTAAACAAGAAGACTCTGGTTCAAACCGTTCACCCCCAGTTATGTGTAAGCGGCAATTTGAGCGTGATGGTTTTTTTTAAATCGTTTTAGACTCTACATATCTTAATATAATCTATAAAAGTCATTCTCTTGTTGATTTATATAGTTGTGACAAATATTGACATCAAAATCATTTGTTACTGATGGTGACAATCAAATACCTACGTGAAAATGAACAGAAATAATTTTGCATGGCTTTTGGTAATCGCATGTATGATTGCATGTGTGTGTGTGGATAGGAAAGCTTTATATTTTAGCACAATCAAAGTCGCATGTTCCATATAAAATATACATTGTGTTTGTGTTTATCACACAGCAGGCAGTGCTGGATACTGAGGCACAGCTCAGGAGCAGCATTACTAGAACCAAAGACTCTCGATACATACAATGATCAAAGTTTACGCAGTCTTTGATTCATTGAAGATAACGACAGGTATCGCCACCGCGTGACTAGGACAGTGGAACCAACGGCAGTGTTTATTGTGTAAGTGCGAAGGTTATAGATTTGATACTAGTCTCTAAGGAATGTGGGGGGTTAAGCTCATGCAAAATGGATGTGCTATGACTTACACTGTGATCTATATATTATATTGCTTTTTATACAGCACCTATACATTACAGATCTGCACAAAAAAAAAAAAAAAATTCCAACAAAGAACAATTGCCACTTTCCATAAGCTTCACAAGTGGGTATAGGTGTGACATCAAAACAGAGGCACAATGAACAGACCCTGTGACCACTAAAAAGCCTTGTATGTTTGTATGGACAAGTGGCATACATACATACTGAACACTTTAATCATGTATTCTTGAACTGAGCATATGTAATTTACTTACACATATTAATGTTATTTTTTTAACGAAAATGAATTATCTTTAAGGCTTGTTTAATTTTGGTGTGTAGTTTAATTATTTAGTGTATTAATGTAATTATTCAGACTATGAATAAATCATAGGTTTGTTAGCTTGATCGATTGATTCTAGTCCCTTGTATTGCACCTACATTAACATCTACAGTCCATCTACACAATTATGATATATATTGTGCATTACATGACTGATTTAACAAGCTCTTCTGACATAACTGATTTCAAGTTTTTGAATATTCACATAATAATTGATATGACCAAAACTATAGAACTAGTACATTCTCACAGGCTTTCAGATACATCACAAACACTAGTTATGCGCCACTATTTTCTTTTTCTTTTTCATATAACCAAACCACTCTGCCATTTTGAATCTGCATCTGTGTGTAAACTTTCTTAATAATTCAACTGTGGGAAAGTGAATTTATGACTGTGGCTGTAAATCCAATGGCATCATGCCGTATTATCTAAAGTCCACACAGAATGAATATACTGTTGCAATACTTAACTTCACAATGGCATCTTTAAGTTTTCATTGAACACTTTTTATCTTCAAAAATATCAGAAAGCAAAATACTCTTTAACAGCGATAATATCTTTATACAGTTTACATAAAAGTTAAGGCAAATAAAAGAGCTTGAATTGTATCAGGACCAGAGTAACCAGGAAGAAAACTACTCTGAACCACCACAATTGGTTCTTAAATATATGCCTTAAAAATATGATGATTAAAAAAGGTCCCAGAGCTTTCCTTTAGGAAAGAGAAAAGAATAATAATAATTTTATAATAACAAAGGAATATGATTAGAATAAGACAATAAAAAATATCAATATATATAAAAAAGAAATGCTTCTGAGTGTTTTGGTTTGATGAAATACACTTGAAATGAGAAAATGTCAAATTAAAATACAGCTTTGGCTTATAAAAAACTATTTTCTGCTAGGTGTGTTATGACAGACACCTGAACGGAAAAAAATAAAAATAAAGAGGGGGTAAGAATTAGAACATTAGAATGTACTCAGTAATAAATAAATAAATAAAATGAACCCTGCCATATCAGGGTAAGCCATGATGTAGTTTGGCATTTTTATCACATAAACTGTAATTTACAGAATGGAATTCAAATTCCCCGTGTTTCTCATAGAAAAGAATGTTTCAGAAAGTTCTTAAAAAAATGCAGACCCTTTAGGCCAGGGCTTTATGTAATCTCTCATTTTAGTGTTGTAATTCTTTTGCACAGTCGATGGAGTAGAAAGCGGCTGCTGAGAGACTAGCAACTAGAGAGAATGTAGAACATTTTCTAAGACCACTACAGCAGAACCACATGACCTGTGGAGCAGCTAGTCTTTGTTCATTTCTCTCTCCTGAGCTTAGCCACTTCCACTCCAGTGCAACCCCCTCTTTATGAAAAGGCAAAATATAGTGGTATGTGAAAAAAAATCTGAGTTTGATTTCCAGTGTCAGTCTCACTTATGTGAGAGAATGAGTGTGTCTCCACATGTGTCTGTTTAGCAGTCAGCTGATTTCGGTGTCTCCTCATCTTCTGCTGACAGTGGAACCGACTGTTCCTTCATTTCAATCTCATCTCCAGACTCTTCGTTTTTCTTCTTTTCCTCCATTGGGTAGACCACTACACAAAACTTCTGACCCAGGTATGTCATCTTGTCTGAGAACATAAAGAGAATCATTTAATTTAAGGGGTCTTTCTGAAAGAAGAATCTTATGCTCACCAAGCCAAAGTCATTTTTAAAATCCTTCAGAAATCATTCTAATATTGGTGAGCAAGGTATTTTAATGTCAATTTCAAGGATGTATTAAATGGATTAAAAGTGACATTTATAATGTTTCTGTATGGCATACAGTATATCAATTTTAACAGTACAAATCGACACATTACTCAATGTGGGATATTGATTGCAAGAGACTGGACAGGATTCACAGTTACGCTTTTTAAAAGGTATTAAAATTGATATACCGGTACTGTATGCGATTCAGAAACATTATAAATGTCACTTTTAAAAGCGTAACTGTGAATCCTGTCCAGTCTCTTGCAATCAATATCCCACATTGAGTAATGTGTCGATTTGTACTGTTAAAATTGATATACTGTATGCCATACAGAAACATTACAAATGTCACTTTTAATCCATTTAATACATCCTTGCTGAATAAAAGTATTAATTGCTTTACCAAACTTTTGATTAGTAGTGTAAATATACAAAATAAAGAAGTGTGAAGTCCGCACACTGAAAAATACTGCTCCAAAAGAAATTTATTAAAAGCAAGCAACATTTCGACCCTCAGGTCTTCATCAGGCACACTCAGGTAGTGTAAATATAACATAATATAATCGGTTCTCAGTTCCCAGCCCTACAGTGTGAGATACATTGTCTCTAATCAGACCTAATACAGAGAAGTGATGTCATCATTAAGCCCCACATATATCTGTGAACTTTATTCCACTTACCAACAAATGTATTGAAACACTGGGGCTTGTTTTCCCAGTACACGCCCAAGAAATAGACAGGGACACCAGTAAGCATGATGGCCAAGCCAATGCCACACACCACAGGCTCCGAGTACAGAGAGAAGATCAGCAGGAAGGCCCAGAACAGCAGGTAGATGACAGGCCACACCAGACTGATCTGTGAGTTGGAGAAGTAAGGTTAGCAGCCAGAAGTAAAAATTTATCTTAAGTTTTCAGCTTATATGGGAGGTATGTAGGGAGTACCTAGAACTGGACAAGCACATCATGATTCAAAGGTTATAGCAAAATATAAATACATTTGCTGAACAGAATACTGGATATATAACAGATGGCAAGTTACCAGTAAAAAGTCAACAACTACCGAGATCACAGATTTTTTTTCATACTGTATGTAAACTCAAAATTAGCATAAAATACTTCTGTTCCACATAACACAAAATTTAACACTGGGTTTCAGTAATTCCTGGGACTTACTTTAATTGGCCGGTGCATATCTGGTTGTTTAATCCGAAGCACAATCTGCCCGGCAACAGTGACACCATAGAAGAGGTAGTTGATGAAACCCACATAGTTTATGAGTGTGTACATGTCACTGGTGCACAGCATCAGAATCGTTGAGATGCACTGCGGGGAAAGCAAGAGAGAGATTTTTGGTATATGTATAAGAATTGTCCGATATCATATCACATTATCATAAAGACCATTCATACTGGGACTACGGAAAAATGGAGGCCATAAAATCAACAAAAGAACAAGTCAGTCTTAAATTCAGCAACTGTCCAGCAGAATTAAAGGATGTGCAACAAATGTGAGCGTGAGTTATAAAGATGCACTTAAAGGGAGAGAGAGGTATATTATACTGTTTATGATACTCACAGTGAAGAGCAGAGCTGGAATTGGGGTGCAGCGCTTCACATGAATCATAGCCAGCAGACTAGGGAGATGGCCTTCACGTGCACCCGCGAAGAACAACCTAAACAACATGAGGACAATCCAGGAATACTGTTATTTACAATGCCAATATATTCAGTAGAGGGGAATATGTGAAGACACAGACCGACAGAACGATAGACAGAACGATACAACAAACGAACGATCGATAGATAGATAGATAGATGAGTCTTGTGTACAAAGGATGGATGGATGGATGCATGGATGAAGGGAGGGACTGACCGAGAGGAGGTGAAGAGGGAGCCGTTGACCCCCCCAAATGTGGACAAGGCCACAGAGATGGGCATGATCCATGACATCACTCCCAACAGCTTCTCACCAAACGTCTGGGAGAGAGCAACAGAGTGGTGAAGGAGAGAAAGGAGAGACAAGCAGAGGAAAAGAAGACGTTGATCGAAAACATGCATTATCATGTCCATAATATCTGTGCTGTTTCATTAAGAAAGTCTTTAGAATTGAATGCAGAAGATTCTGGAGTCTGATATATCTATTTGAATGGTACACAGGCAGGCATCAAGAGCTCAATCCAAGTATAATTTAAAGAACTTTAAATATTGATACTTGGTTAGATATGTCAAAGAATCTCCTGCATAAAGCAAAACAATCAGTCTGTTTGCGGTCCTGAAATGTCTGACTGCTATGAATGAACACTCACCACAGCTACAGCATTAGAAGCCAGCAGCTCCTGAGGGCTCATGGCAGTGACGTAGGCAATGTTAGCAAAAACATACACAAAAGTCACGAGGGGAATGGAGATGAAGATAGCACGGGGAAGGTTTCTGTATGGAAAAATATAAAAACAAGAAAGAGGGAAAGAGGGAAAGAAGTGTTCATTTAGAACAGAAGTAGAAGTACATTGCATTATTTTAGCCAACCAACTACATACTACTTTTCAGTCAGTTTGAGGCAGATTCCAGTTACCTCCTCAGGGCATTGTGTAAAATTATACAGTGATTCTTTTGGCTCTTTATATATGCAGTTTGATATATTTCAGACCATTCTGACTATTGATCCTTTATGTGGTCGTTTGTTGGATATTACAAATGTATATTTAATTTACACTAATAACAATTAATACTAATTAAATACTGAGAACACAGTATTGAATTACTGTGAGCTCTTTAGATGAAAATTGGCTTACACATAGGGGTCGACGAGTTCCTCTGTGACATAATTGAGGAAATTCCAGCCACCGTAGGCGAAGGACCCCTGTAGAAATGCCAGAGCAATCAGACCAACATCATAGTCTTGAAACGGCTCGAAAGCATTGGCCGGCTCCAACCAGTAATATTCGCCTGGAGAAAGAAAAAAAAAAAGTGTACAATAGTTATCAAACATCAAAGGGAAATTTGTTATACAATGCCTCTTGTTTATTAGCTAGTTAGTTAACCTTTAGCAAACGCTTTCATTTAAAACAGCTTAAAGTAGAGTAATCGCAAACACAGCTCCTCTTGAGCAACTGATGGTCAAGTTCCCTGGTCAAGGACCAAAATGGTATTGTGATCTTAATAACAAACAGTAGTAAGTTTATGAAAATACAGCTAAACCCAGCTGGATTGAGTTGGTATAAACTTTGTGAAACTGGTAGACCATCTTGGACAAAAATATAGTGACCTGATTTTTCCAGCAAGGGGCATTAGATCCAAATGGCTACTATCTTTGGCAGATTCCCACCAGCTAGTAATCCACCAAAGGCAGCCTGAACCAGTTAAGAGACCATCTACCATGTTCCAAAATACAACTACCACCATAAACTGGTTTTGACTGGATTTCCTGAACCTACAATCTTTTTGCTCCCTAAGCCATAGTATTAATACCACAATTCTAGGCTCAGGTCTTTGGGTCACATGTTCTCTCTAAACTCTCTTTGAGAGCATACATGACCCTGAAGCAGCCAATCCCAACAAGCCCAAATCCAGTCTTTTTTAAATCTTCTGCATGATGGAATCACATCTGTCACTCTCATATTATCAGGTCAGTGTCTGAGCTAACAGGCCGTCGGTAGTGTGATCATTCTTTAATCCTCTCTGACGCAGCAGCTGTGAAAACTGCATTATCTGTGTTATTCTTTATTAGAGGGTTTGAACCCAGTGACTTCTGCTGAGACAACAAGGCAAAGAGGGGAAGTGCTGTGCTTTCACTTTTTCTGAAGATTTTACGGAGCTACTAGCAATGAAGCAATGCAGGGACGAGGAGTCCCTCATGCAGACTTCTACAAATGCATGGACAAGAACAAGCACTGCACGTAGCCCCCACCCCACACATAGCTTTATTTAGCACAGACCTCCTTGAATAACCAATATATAGCATTGCATACATAGACATATGGTACCTACCCTTGCAGATTTGTACAAAACCCATGATGATGATGAGAATGAGGGCCAGAAGTTTCCCTGCAGTGAAGACATCCTGTACCCGTGTTGCCCAGCGCACGCTGGCACAATTCACCCAAGTCAGCAGCACTGAAACACACAGACATTGAGGTTACAAGGCTGGTTACACACAATATACACACTATGAGCCGTTAGTGAGATTAATGGCTCCCTGCTGTTTGAACAGTCTAGTATGCCAAAGGATTATAAAATAATGCTTTCAGCTATGAGGAATTTATCAGACACACAAATGACAAGCTCGAAATAGGCCTTCAGGTGAACTTATTCAATACATAAAAACATTTGAATGCGCTGCCACATCTGAAACAGATAGGCAGGTGAAATTAGGTTAAAAAAGTCAGCACAGATGAATTATAATAGGATATGATATTTTGCCTTTATATTGATCTCACAGATGTTTTTATTCAAAGCAACTCAGTATGCATATTCTCTTTTATGGATCTAATGTGACATTGTCAGCAAGATGGTACAGGAAAATTTAGAGCATTGACAGCCCGTGTGATATATATATATATATATATATTTTTTACCTCATATGATTTGAAAGATTATATGGAATATTTGTACTTTTAAGAAATCATTTGACAGACTGGAGAATTATTTAAATGAACAACAAAAAGCTACAAGATTTAAAAAAATGAACATTGTAACCAGTTAGAGTACGTGAAACATTTTTTTTTTTTTTTTTTTTTACACATTCATAATACATTTTAACTTAGAAAACGCATGTTGGAAAAGTCAATGTGCTAAATAACGCTCAAAGTCACATGCACACAGTTGTCTGATGGCATGTGACAGACATATTTGGTCATAAAATCAGAGGGACGTGCAAGTAAACTTTGAGTCTTGACTCGTGCACTTTTGAGAACTTGCAAGACATGCAAAAATGCCGCCTCGTGATGTGGACTCCGGGGTTCAGCGTTATCCCTTTTCATTCAAATACTACTTGTGTACTTGTAGACAAGCAGCAAATCAAATCACTCACCTCAACAGACGGTTAAACAAAAGAGCAATTACATTCAAAACTAGTGTGAACTGTGTGTGATTTGAGAATGTCAATGTGCAGTGGCCAAACTCAGCGAGAGTTCTTGGCACTCATTTAGAATGAAACTACATAGAGGTGCAGCAGCATCTAGTCACAACAATAAAATGCAGGTCAAGTGATATTAGGCGGAGTATTACAGGATATTAGGCATGTCACAACAATAAAATGCAAGTCAAGTGATATTAGGCGGGGTAAGGTGTTTTGTTACACAAAATCCATGGTAATTACTGTTTGTGGCGAAATCAACACAAATAGTCTGACAGTGCAAACTGACATCCTGTCAAATAATGTGAAGAGAATGCAGTAAAAACCAAACACAACACGGCTTTGGGCGAGGAGGTGTAATCCTTATGTCTTATCTCTGTGTAAGAAAAAGAGCAAAGACATGCTTCTAACTGAGCCCAGTCGTGTCTTGAGATAAGGGCAGTGCATTCTGGGAAATCGACCGGAGAGGACGTTTGTGAAACTACTTTGGAATGGAAAAATAAACAGGTAGTGAAATCTACATAGTACACCATGCTAATGGAAGAATGCAGAAAACATTCCTATGACAACAGGAATCTTACTACAATAAGCTGATTACAGTGGTGGTCACGCACATAGAGGTCAGAGTTACTAATTTAACCTTCCATTTTATCCCCTTGATATCTTAAGACTTTATGCAAGTAGAATCATGTGCTAAACAATTTTTTTCTATATTCAACAGCCTGTTAAACACAATATACTCATGGGATCTGTTCTAAAACATGGTGGATTCTGTTTTGCACTTTACTGCTTGCATAGGCAGCGTAATTAATTAAATAATTGATTCGAAGCACAAATAGCCGACTCAAAAAAAAACAATTTATTTCAATGGAGTTAGCATGTTGCTAAGCTAACCATGTGATACTCAAATGCGCTCAAGCACATAATATTTTTGGTAAAATAGTACATTTTTAAGTAGATTTAACCTTTTAAGTAATTTACAAAATTGTATAAATTATAATTATATTAATAATCAACAATTTTCTCACGTATCATTTTTTTCGTTAAGTTTTCACAATACAGTAGGTCCCAATTTGCATACTTTCTATGCATGCACTATTCTATGTAATTTTATTGTATAAATGGTGTTAGTGTGTTTACACAGAAAATTTTAAAAATGAAAAAGTGCGTTTAAAATACCCCGATGATCACTGAAAAAAACTAAGTTTGAAAAGTTGGTCACTTAATACAATCTGTCATAGCGTTCCTAATGTAGCAGAAGGGGCTATCAGACTCTGATGCTGGATGACCAAATAACAGTAGACGGTAGAGTACATAGTGCACAGAGTAAGTACGCAATTTGGGACATAACTAATAACTTATGAGATTGTCTTCTCTGAAAAATGTACATGCAATGCTGCCAGTATTTGGCCATGAGAAGGTATCTTAAATGGCAGCAGTTAATCTGACAACCGTTTGGAATAGTGTTCGTGTCACTGTGTTCCATTACAATGCTACCTACTAAGGCAACAGATTAGGTTCTTCTGACACAGAGCCATGCACACACTTACAAAAAAACGTTTCTCAGAATTGCAGTAGTGGTTTTAGAAGAAAAGACATAAAGGGTACAAAAGAGTACAAGAACAGGGACATCGTGTAAAGTAAAACTGTGCCATAGTGTCCACTTTTGCCCTTTCACTTACTTCCTGCGGTTCTCTAAACAAAACAAAAGCAAGCTAAAGAAGAAGCAAAAAAAAAAAGCTTTAGTGCTGCTTGAGAACATCCGTTAAGTTAAAAAACAACCTTCAACTTCAGCTAATCAGAACATTATGGTCTTGATAGTCACTTTTTAGAGTATTAAAAGCACACCATGAATGCTGACTCAGCTCTGTTAAGGTGATGATACACAGGGCAACTTTTTGAGCAATGTTGCTGGGCAATCTTGCCGAGCGATTGTTGCTTGGGTAACTTTCCCATTGAAAATGGGCAATACATTTCTATCTGGATAATTTAGGTCAGTCGTGGGCCCTGTGTCTCATCTGGTTGCCCGTTGACGGCAACATTGCTCAAACAGTTGCCCTGTGTATCATCACCTTTATTAACCTGTGCAATGGACAAAGAGCTAGTACTGGTTATAGTTAGGTAGCTAATTCTGGGTCAGATTTTTTCCATAAAAAAAAAAAAAGATGAAATATTTTTAATATATCTAATTATTAAACTAAATAACTTTTAAGGTTGGGTTTAAATTGAAACTTTACAGTTGCAATATCAAAACAAGTTGAGATATCACCTAATATCCTCTCTTCTTGACCTCTGTCTTTTTTCTTAGGGTCTCTGTTGTTTGCCTGTCTACATACAACTTGCAGTATTTGTAGCTCCAGCGTGAAGTTTGCAGAAAGCCCACGCTCAAGGCTTCTTGATGCCATGAAAAACCATCATTCCATCCATCTTCACATATCCCTCTCTCTTTTACTCTCTTCCTTTTCTATCCTCCGCACATTTTCCCACAACCTTTCAGTTCCCTCTCCCAGGGTATGACCCCTCGGTCTTCTTCAATCACACATCAGTCCCAAAACACTGTCTCTCTAGATCTGGCCTTCAAGGTTCTTTCACTTGAGCGTGATTTGCCCCTATGGTCAAACATAAGAGGCTGTAATGAAGTATCCATTCCCAGCTACAATTTGTCCATGTGCAGAGAAAAATGTCTAAAATATACAAGTATTCAGAAGTGAATCACAAGCAGATGTGGAAATAGTGATTGTGTAAGTTGTTATAGCATCTGTGAGGTAAACAACATAAAACAGTCTACAATGTATGCAAAATATACAGGTTTTTTTCATCTTATGAGTGTTCAAAACATTCAGATAACCTTAAAATATTTTCGTGTCTGTCAAACCCATCTTCTCTTACATATGATAATGGTTTAGCATCCACAATTTAACGGCTCTCACTTTCCTTTTTGCTATCTTAACCTTTTCTCTTTTTTTTTTTTACCATTCTCTTGCAGTCCCTATATGTATACATATACACACACACTGCCCGGTCAAAAATAGTCGCTGTTTGGATTTAAATAGGCAAATGCTTAAGAGTCAATGACTGGATCATTATTGCAGTGATTATTACGTTTCTAGCATGTTATATGTTTGGCAACAGTTCTTCTAAGTTCTAACCCTTGATGGAGTGTGTAGCTTTTCATTCCACTTACAACCATGTAGGAAGACACATAATGGCTATTTTCCAGAATGACAAAGTCAAGATTCGTCAGGCTCAAATTGTAAAAGAAGGATTGGGAGGGAGCATGAAGAATCATTTTCACACATGAATTGGCACCTCTGAATCCAGACCTTAAATTCATTGGAAGTCTTTGGGATGTGCTGGAGGAGACTTTACAGAGTACTTAACACTTGCATTGTCAATACAAGAACTTGTCATTCTGGAATATGGCCATGATGTTTTTGGTCGGGCATATATATATATATATATATATATATATATATATATAGGGAGGACTTGTAGCAATATCAATGGTCATCTAAATATGAATGTAGCAACAATCCCTAAATGATAAGACAATGATATCTCGGTTTTTCCTTCTGGTACTCACACAAGCAGATGGCAGCGAGCAGACGCAGACCATTCTCTGGGGGGAAGCAGGTGGGGAACAGAGGCTGCAGGACGTAGTTGGAGAAGGTAAGGGCGATAACTGCCTGGTTAGTGGGATAGATCACCAACACAGCAATCCACAACCGCAGAAACCTGTAGCATATAAACATTCAAAAAAGTTATAATGCTTCCAACAAAAAAGTACTCAATAGATGGTAATACAGTGGTATTTTGATAACTATGTTTCATCTCCAAAAACACAAAGTATCATGTTAATACCATAGTTATTTTTAGCTAGTGATCCGCATTGTGTTATTTGCATAACAGTCTTTCTTCTAAGGATGGACTCAATTTGTGTATACAAGATCATTCATTGCCATCATTTGTTTGGAGTGAGATAGAGGCACGAGGGAATGACCAGCTAATGGTTGTCCTTTAGCAGTATTATTCAATAGAGCAGTCACTGTGCTAAGCAAAGTTTGTTGGCATGTAAGCAAAGGCAATGCTAAAAGATTTGATTGACGGCTGAGTACCTATTAAAAAATGTTAAATCACAGCTACAACTACTTCACCAGACAGCAACAATGCTAGCACCTTTAACAAGCTAATTACCACACAATGAAAGGTAATGGTGTTTACTGTCACAGTAAACTGTTACATGGTGTTGACATGAGATTACAGGTGTTTTGACAGAAAAAATGTCCACAGATTCCTGTGGAGCGAGAAATGTTGTTATTCCATTATTTTCTTCAGGTTTGTTGAAGCGCTGACTTACAGGAACTCAGAGATACATTCATGTTAAAACATCCTATCACACTAAGTTCTGCATTAACAATAATTAAGTCATCTACTTCTAGAAATAATATGGACTTTGATTGATAAGCAGTCTATTCTCTGGAAGTATTATTAAAACTAATGTGTGGCTGAAAACCTCACCCTGCCAGTCCTCCGAAGATGTCCTTGACATAAGAGTAGTCGCCTCCAGATTTGGGGATTGTGACGCCCAGCTCAGCGTAGCAGAGTGCTCCAATCGCTGTTATAACACCTGTGACGATCCATACTATGAGAGCCAGGCCCACTGAACTGGCATTTTCCAACACTCCCTTTGGACTAACAAAGATTCCAGAGCCGATGATGTTACCTGTAAAAGAGAAAACAGAGAGGTTGGGTATTTAGTTTAGAATTGTGAATTAATGTAGAAAACAGGTCAGAAAAAGAGAAGGATTGTGTGTGAAAAAGGAGGTGGAGCTGTCACACCAATGCATCATATAAGCCTTCAATTAATGTCTGAATGAATCTACTAAAGTGCTCCAATTTAAAATGAAATTAATGAAACAGACTTTATCCTGAGTAAAGGATTTAAAGAGATTTTAGATTGGTCAGAAATGCATTAGGGATACACATTTTGAAAGTGTAGCCGATATCTCTATAGGCGATAACTACTTTGTTAAAAAAATTAATTACATACTAAAAACTATCATTATGTGCACACAGAAATTCACTCCAACTTGCACTATTAAAGATTCAAGAGAATGTCTTCATCTATCCAAATGGTTTAAATTAGACAGAAATCTATCCACCTTGTTTGCAATGCGGAAGTAAGCTATTTTCTGTGAATGTTTGAGACTTCTGATTAATTACCCGCTAAAGGTAAATAACTAGAAGAATAAGAAAGTGCAGTAAATGGTAAAACTAGGCTATTTGTGCTACAAACCAGTGTGTTTGTGATTACAACAAGCACAAATAAAGTGGATAGATTTCCAATTTTGACTGATAAATATCCAATAATGGCAGTTGCTATTAAATACAAAAAGAAATTACAAATATGGTGCTTCACTACATTTTATGTACAATATCCCTAAAATACATAGGAAAGCATGATGAGATGACAGTGTGACACTTAACCCAGGAGATATAGAGATCAGCGAGACTTATGACAGTGGCAAAGAGAAAAGGGGCGATATAGAAAAAGAAAAAGCATGACAGTGTATGAATCAAACGGAAATTAAAATGTCAGTGTGGCAGAGAAAGAAGAACCAAGAGAGAGAAAGCAGTTGGTGAGAGCAATTCACATTTGCTGAGTTAGAATTCAGCGTGACTAATGGAGTGAGTACACACAGCAAATATATGGGGGAGTGTGTATTTGCCATGTGTGCACTTAGTGCAGTATAGTGCACCACCACTGTGTGTTTGTAATTCACATATTGGCCCCAAAAAAGTATTTGGACATTTATGTTACACATGTAAAATGTCTGAATTTCATTGCATTCCATATAAAAATATCAAACCAGGTGTGAATTTTTCTCAAATCTAATTTTACTTATCTAAGCCATTGTTGCAGTTATTTGTAAGTAAGCATGGTCGATTTTAGCACACGCATTAGGTCATGTCCCCATTAATTCACACAATACCAACGAACCCATCCATAACTTGTAAACCACCATTTTTACAACAAAACAACCGTATATCTCACAGATCATCTCATTTAGACCTACTAAACTATTCCGTTGGAAAGCACACACACCACTTTACTACAAAAGGTGTTTTTCCACCAAACCCCTGTGAAGATCTCAATAACCCAGAGGGATGTCAAATCTAACCAAGCTGGATCAAGGCTCCTCCATGGAGGAAGACACTTATGTGATTTAGGCCAACTGGACAAAGGTTAAAGGCTTTCTGAAGCAGAAAATGCTGAACTAGTACGTGATCTCACTGTACAAGTGGGAGGCAGATTGTGGAGAGACTACCAGTTCTGCACGTGTAACTGTGGTTTATTCTTTTATCTTCCCCGATTGTGCTTCATGTCTGGACTTTTGACACAAACTGATGCATGTGAAAATTCAGGTAAACAATGCATGAGCCGGAGTTTCTGCCCAATTACATCTCTTCCCATCAGTAAGTCAACTAGTCCAGGTTTTCCTGTCGAACTGTCACTGCAATTATGTTCTGTGAATCACTTTGGATACAAATGTCTGTTCAACATTGCCACTGTAAACAAGTAATCAGACTTCTCTGTAACCACTGCTGCCATGTAGGCTATTCACAAAATAATCTGCACTAAAAATAATATCCATAAACCTTCATGACAGCTGAGCATTCATCTTATGTCTTTGGCTGTTCTCCCACTTCACTTCTCTCCCTATATCTCTGCTTTGAAAAAGCCCTGTCAAGATATGATTATCACAAACTTCAGCATGTCCCATGACCTCAAAGTACAAGTTACACAACTTTATACAATCAAAGGTATCTTTTACTATTGCCAAAGCATGTAGGGATTGATCTGGTTTCAGCCAGCTTGTGTATTAATTGACTATAAGGAAACCAGCAGGGAATTATGAACATTAACAGGTTTTACGCTGTAAGAGGTCTTGCTGACTACAGAGGAAAAAATCTAGATGGGATTTCCTTTTCATACTGCATCCTCTTGCTTCCCTTTTGTGTGTTCACAGCACAAACATCACAGGCAACACAGCAGCAATCCCGGAATCCCGGTTTGTCAATCTACACTAATCTATGCTAATCTTTGTCAAACACATAGATGGAAAGGCTACAGAAAAGTCCTGCTTTTCAATTCAAAGTGCCAGTTAGCTTTTAGATAAGGCATTGTCTGTTTTTTTTTTTTGGTTTTTTTACTGTATTGCACTTTAGCTGTACCAGCCATAAAAAAATAAAAATAAAAATAAAAATTATTAGCTGTACCAGCCATTAAAAAAACAAACATTTGTAGAGTGATTTAAAATAAAAAGTAAAATTTTTGATAGGATTGTTGTCAGAATTGACACATTAAGATGCGATCACATTTACTGTTGTTTGGCCCATTTTTGATGGCAAAATACAGTGGTTTCAATAGATACCCACGCAATCTGCACAATTTCACATGGGGCCGAAATATAATTTCCCCACACAGATTTGCAAATGGTTTCACGTTGGTCATGCGAGTTCGTTCATTCGTTGCAAACAGAAAGCTGCTGTTTAAAAGTGACTTATTTGTGAGCTGTGCTTTATTGCTACACCATTGACAATGGACTTTTTTTTTTGCCCATTCCATTTTGTTAATGTGACCGCATTTTTATTCAGGATTTAGGTCTATCCCCATTCAAATAGATAGATAGCACCTATTGCCAACATCGAATACAGCTGCACAGAGTGCCAAAGTGGCCGCAGTGAACTGACTTACCTCAAAGTCAGTTCACTCTTTGCTATCAGCTTATCATATGCATGTCAGTCATTGTCTATTTATTGCACAGTGATATTACATTCACTTGTACTTCTATTTATTACTCTAGCTAACATGTTTGCTGAGGCGAATCTCTTTCAACTGTCCTATTGATTTTCTTTCATGCCTCAATTGATCAAACGGTTTCTGTGGGTCTGTAGCCTTGATAGCCAGATGTTTCCCTTTTACTAATTCACATAAATAAATCAGAGTTTGTGTTAATGAAGCAAGCCATTTACACAAAACAATGTCTCCTTTCATCAAATAAAATTGGTTCAACTGTTATGCAACCCAGACTCTTTGTATAATCAAAGTGGATAGATTTACAAAACGTTTCTAGAATTAGGCTAAATGTTGAACATGTTTCTTTTGTAGGATCATCAAAAAACCCATACCATAAAAACACTGGTTTAGCTTTTAGATAATGAAGGTCTATAGATATTATTTACCTCTTGCAGTTTTCAGTTCTACATAAATACTGTACATCATACATTTTCACTTGGATTTTAATAATCTTATTGGAGCATTAACCAATCACTAAAGTTTAATATATGACTGTATCAGATCAAAAACCTGTCTGAGAAAGAATAATGGAATGCAATTAAATATTTATTGGGCTGCTAACTGGTTACATCTATTTTGGCTCACATCAAACTTTAAAATACTTTGTAGCCAGCTTGATGTATGATGTTCTTCAATCAATCCATAAGCATCTCTTGATAACATCTGAGGCCAGTTTGCTTTTAGCAAAAGATATACAATGCACTTTTTAATCTGCAGTGCATCATATCACAATCTCCTTCTAAGTGCACATTCAGATGATCTGTCAGCCTTTACTCTACTAAAACTAGGTTCCTAGCACCTGTTTCCATTCTAACAATCCCTACTGATTACCAGAGACCATAATCCAAATATTCAACGTAAAAATGGGTCTAAGCGAGTCAAAAAAACACAGAAAGTTCACGTTCAGGTCCATGCTTCATTTCCAGCTCACAAAGGGTTCCAGAAAAGGGGTTGATAAAGATGAGAGTGTCAGAAGTTATAAAGTATTCTGATAAATCTAATGAAGTACAAAGGCTTGAGGAAAGCTTTGAGCGATCCGAAGCGACAATCACCTGATAATAATGTTCACGTGAGCCAACTGAGAGCATGTGAATGTGTGACCTGACCTGATCAAGGTTGCTGAAGAGGATTATCATATAGCTGCAGTTAAAATGTGGGCTGGGATTATCTTGAGTGCGTTTTACTTTTCCTTAACTCTCATCATTACATTAAATATAATTTTATAGCTTATGCTGCAAGAAGCAATAAATGAAAACTACCCTGTGACATACTCAATAAACTGACGAAGGATAAGTCACGTTTCCTCTCTTCACTTCCTGTTATATTTGCAGCGTTTCAGCTACTCTAAGTCACTGATTTCCAGAAGTGAAAATAATAGACAGAAAAAGAACAACATGGTCAAGCCACGTGCATTTTTTATTCTTGCTTAGCCATTTTAAACTATTGTGAAAAAAAACACGAGCCCATGGCTGTTTTGCAGTTTGCTAGAGCTAGACTGATACATTTTTGTTTGCTAGACCAAAAACATCGATTGATACAGTTTCCTAATCTGCTGACAGCCTTGTTAATGCACATTTTCTATTTTAAAATAGTATAAAAGAACAATTATTTTATATAAAGCGATTGTGTATATCCTGTTTGTTATACTTAAATCGTATAAAATATTTAACTATAAGACATCATCGATATTGTTTTATATGACCTATACAATATTGATTATTTTACAGATCATTTTCATGACAATGATAACTAAATAATCTTTAGACTACAACAATTAAAACATAATGTGCATGAATATCTTATAACAACAACAACAACATTGTTTATAAACCAATACTCATCTTAAATAGGCATATAGGCCAAAACGATTATTGGTTTATCTCTTAAATCAACATTATATCGTATCAACCATTAGAAAAAAACTAATTGGACCACTAATCAACAGAACAACAGGCATAAGCGTATATAATCAGGGGGGTTTCCTCCGAGGAGGCAAGGGAGGCAGTGCCTCCTCAAAAAATTGGATGAGAAAATAATCCATATTAGAAAAATAAAACAAAAGAAATACAAAATGTGACATTAAAAAGTGCATAAATCACTCGTTTTTCTAAAGCAACACTGTCCAACAGCGACACCCACAGGTAAAGTTACAGCAGGAGTCTGCTTCTCTCTTGCCTCCCCTGAGCCCATTGAGTTTTAACAGACCCCCTAAACCATGCTGTGGGTTTGGTGGGAGGTAATTGAGAATGAATTGTGGTGAGAGGAGGCACTGCCTTCATGCTGTGATTGGATATGATTGGTTTGTGCGATAAAACCAGCCTCTTGTTTTCGTGCGCGTTCGTGAATCGGTTTGAATGAACAAAATTATGGCGTTTAATGGGAATTAAAAAGTACACTCTAAAAAACGTTGGGTTATTTTTAACCCAACATTTTTAAGTGAGTAAGTAAACAACTTAGCCATTTAGATACACCGCTTTATGTCATCAGAATCAAACTTGAAATGGACTGAAACATGAAGACTGTAGGGATATTTTAGTGAGCAATCAGCTTGGTGAAATGAAAGGTAGGCTACCTATTTGTCTGTGATCAGTGTTTACCGAGCTTGATAAGTGATGAAAATAAGTTGATTATTAAAAAGAACCGCTGAACATCAGATAACAAATAAAATATATTGTTTGAATTGTGCCTTTAGTTGTTATTTTGGAATAAATGTAAACATAAAAAAGACTATCTCCTCATTTCAGAACACCACCACACGCCACTGTTATCATATATTTTCATATATAGTAGGCCTATATTTTCAACTATTTTTGTTTTTCCAGATTTAAATGACCTCTTTTTCCATTTCATAGGACTGATTAGTATGAGAGAGAGACTATCATTCAGCATTATCCAATCAAGCCGTGCACCGTGCACGACTGACAATGCATCCGTTTAAAACACATCCACCCACATGACAATACATAGAAATACTCACCGACAATAATGCCACAGGCACTGACGAGACCGATCTCCTTTTTCAACGCCACCGATGACTCTCCCGCTGTTTTGCCGGCGTCTGCTGCTCCATCCTCACCGGTGCTCGGGGCTGCGCTCCCTCTTTGTCTCGGTCCATCCGTCATGTTGGTAATTGAGATGTTCAGTCCTCGATGTTGAGCGGTGATGCTAGAGCAGCGCTTGACGTGTACCGCTGGTGGTCAGATCTCAGATAGCGAATATAGACATAAACAGCCTGAATACTATCTCGAGCAAAATATGTTACTATGATCACTTTATCTATCCTTTCTTATCTACCTGAGATTGCTCTAAATCATGTGTCAGGATTTATTGCGTAGTGGCAAAGTAACAAGGAGCAAGATGTGCTACTGCAGTAAAGGTCTATAAAATACAATCAAAAAGAAGGCACTGTCAGTGTCATTAAAACGGTTAGATCAACGTCAAAAATGAACACAAAGCACTGAGTTCGGGCGTAACAAAAACTAGCTACAGTAGCCTAATACTCCAATCGCAAATATGTGTCCGTTTGTTGCGTCCGTGATGAAGCGTATCCAGGGTTTAATCTGTCGTTTAAAAAAAAACGTGCCAGAGAGGCCGAAAACCAATTCACAGGTTTCTTCTTTTATTTCCTGTAAATGCCGGTTTCCTCGTTCTTAAGAAGTGCATCGTTTTGACATGGACTCTTGCTAAACGGCTTTAGGTAGATGAGTGTCGGCGCGCTGGGAAGCCTTCGCGTCTCCAGCGATGTCCAAAGCACCAGCGGTCCAAGCGCCTCCTAACCAGCCTGTAGTATTTACTCCATATGTCAAACCGCCTCCATAAGTACCGTCGTGCCTCCTCCCCTCCCCTTTCCCTTCCCCTTCCCCTTCCCCTACCCCTACGTCGCGTCACAGCTCTTGTTTTTTAGGTATACCCTGCACGCCTCCCTCATAAACCCATGACAAGCTGTTGAATAGCACGGTAAGGAATATGAACTTCCTCAACCTACCAATATATGATTTCATTGTTACCCTGTCGCTTCATTGTAAACATCTCGGTGCTTAAAAAAAGCCTGCTGAAAATAATACTGATTTCTCACATGTAGGGCTAACTATTATTATCATTTTTTGTACAAATGCTCTTTTATTAGCCTATGTACACGTTTCAACACGATTTTCAAACGTTTTAGTAATTACAGAAGTTAGTAAGAGCCCGTACTTTCACTTCCTGCCACAAAACAGACCCTGATCAAGTCGCGTCGCGTTTGCCTGGACATGTAACCATAGCAACGGCATGAGCGCAGAACGTTGGGAACAAATGTCTGCAAAACATTACACGTAGGCTATTGACACAAAAAGTAACAAAAGCATTATAATATTTATATATGTGTGTGTGTGTGTGTGTGTGTCCTGGTAAACCATAAATTATGGGGACAAAATTTCCCCACAAAGATGCAATATCCAGAATCCTTGTGGGGACATTTTTTGGTCCCCATGAGGAAAACAGCTTAAAAATAATAGCTACTAAGTAATGTTTTTTGAAAATGAAGAAATGCAGAAAGTTTTAGATCGATTTTAGATAGAATATACAGTTCATCAAAATCATTATGTCTATGGAAAGTTCCCATAAAAACTAAAACACACAAATGATGTGTGTAATAATAAATTAATAACATGAATACTATAATATTAAAACCTCTAAGAATATATAATATAACCTATAGGCCTATAATAAGCAGTTTGGAGAATGGATGGATAATTAATAAAAAGATTCCATTTAAAAAGTCAACCCCCAAAATCACTTTATAATTCACACACTGCATATGATTGCTTATAAAGGTCTTGTGCCTGCCAGAGTGCATGTGTATATGTTATGAATGATAAATCAAGCCAACACTATACCACATAGTTATCTTCATTTCCTTTTTTCAATGAAAGGGCTGCATTTCACGAGTTCACACTTACAAATAAGTCAGATAGAATAAATGCATGTTTGGAGTGCTGTCCGAGGAGAGGGCTCCGGGCTCGGTATGCGGCCCAAACCCAGAGTACTCCCCCCCGTATTCCTGACTGTGAAATAAGCCAGGAGTGAGGAGTCGGGGTGGTGGAGGGATGCTGGAACTGTCAAGGAATGTTAGGTGAGTTGACAGAGAATATATATATATGCTTCCACTTGTGCTGATAGGGTGGACATGTAATTGTTTGGTGACGAGTTGATTGGAATGATTTATTTGAACGTGCTCCTCCCGAACCTTGTTTATAAAACATCATTCATTGTCACAAACTGGGTTGGTAGTGTACAACTAATGTAAGACAATAACTGTGCCCAACCCTGTCAATTAATAACAAAGGCAGATAATTGTTTATGAACCTTCTAAGGAAACCAGTTTTAGACAGGCCTCAATGTCATGTTGAATGATCATCTAGAGCAAATTCATGTCAGCTTAATACATAACCAAGCAAATATTTAGTGATTCCAATGCTTATTTCTCAACAGAAAACAAAAAACTAAAACATGCACATGCTACAGGCAGCGAATCTGTGCTGCCTTTAAAATCGACCAGACACCTTAATAGACAGGATGTCTCTTGTTGCCTTATTGTCTTATACTGCCAATGAAGGCAATGTTTTCAGCTTAGAGACTGTTTACAACATCCATAAAGAAATTTATGGAGAAGAAATTGTCTTTTAAATTTTCTTCACTCTCATGAAAGCAATCAAGAGATAATATTGACAGAAAAAAACAAGAGCAGGAGAGCAGTTGAGGTAAATGGGACGTTTTTGCCAATGTAACTCGTCATTCATTATCGTGTGAATCAAAGTGGACAAGAAGACACTATAGGCCTGTGTTGGCACAGCTGTGCTGTCATAGATAAATGGGCTATTGTTTGATATCTTAATGGCTCTCATACGCGCACACACGCACAGCTTCACACACACGTGTACACAGAGCCACACGCGGCCCTCATGATGGTCTCTTTTCTCATTCATTGCTCAGTGAGAGGAAGCAGGGTATTGGGTCAAACTCAACCGTTAAATAGCTTCGTACAAACACCGGTGTAGTACAAGGGTGCAGCTATCGAAGCAGCTTTCACAGCACAGGTCAATATATCATTTGTTTTGATAATGAGATGAAATTAATTTGGCCATGTTCAACATTCATTCTTTAAGTTTGACACAGACTGTTTACTCATATCTCTTCATCTCTAATTCATGCAATGAAGCTCAATGAATGTGACAGAGGAGAGTTGTTTTCACAACAGTACATAGTTTCTAACTGAAATGATGTCGTTTCCTTCTTGTTTTAAGCTAAAAACCTGTTTAAAGAAAAACATATTTGTTTTTAAACTATTTGCAAATGAGGTGACACAAAACACTGAAGACAAATGAAATGCATTCAAATATTCTGAATGCCATGCATGACTTTAATGCTTTTGTCCCCATAAATTATACCTTCGATTTTAAGAAGATTTTATGAATCATCTGGAAGTAGTTAATGGTGTTGTCTAAAAGAATTCAGAAATTGCCTTCAATTCACACTTGTCTGTATGTACTGTGTGAATGTGTGTTTGAATGCACTAATCTCATCTGGACTGACCCAATCTCCTCCTTTTAATCAGCGAGACAGTGGACAGATAACCATGTCAAATCCACATGAGTGAGTGGCACGTTCAGCACAAGGCCTGAGGAAGCATACAGCCATTTCGATGCAGACTTTCCTGTCTTATCGGTTTGATAAATTATATGTGAATGAAGAGTGCAAAATTCTCAAGGGCACAAAACTAAGAGTTATAATGTGTGGAGGGAGAAGAGGGCTGGGGAATGATGCGACCAGTAAAGAAAAGAAAAAAAGACTGCTACACATTTCAGAGTCTGAAACATTTAACTAAAGAGATTGAGAAGAAAAAGCAGAGGAAGATCATTTCAGGACAGAAAGACAGAACAGAGTTTAAACTCCAGTTGATTGTCAAATCTCAGCAACTTTTAGCCTTCAACACACTGATAAAGGGGCTGCTTATATTGATATGGCCACTATTACCCTTTGTCTCTCCGTCTTGTCAAATGCCGCACACAAATTCTTTCTCAGTGATAAGGAGGCAGAAACCACTGTGATTTGCAGCGAGATGAGGTTAATTAATACCCAGAGCTTATAGTTCTGTTAATTCAGAGATAATTCAAGACACCATGCAGGATATTGATATTGCCCAAGACTGACATCTTTAGATCAATGGATATGACAAGTGACATCTCATTTTCCCTGGCTAATATTAAACTAAACTTTATTAAATCACTAAAGTGAAGACCCAAAAGTGAAGTGTTTCTATTTGACATTTTTCTAATGCAAAAAAAGTTATTATAAAATATATAACCGTGTTACATTAGTATTTTTTAATATATGATTATAGAACTTTTAATAAATCATCTTAAACTTACTGTATTTCAGTTAATTGCCCAGGCAACATTTCTAATTTCTAGTTTTTTTTTTATCTAATATTTACATTTTATTTTATTTAAGCTTTATTTCAATTAATGAAAGCATTTTAATAGTTTTAGCTTTACTTAAGAATAACATAACTAATATATATGAATGAAATATAATTAAAAAATTTTTTCCTATTTGAGTATTTTCAAAAGAGCAGGCAACACCTTCTGTACAAAGCAGTTTACATGCTCAATGTCACATAGTTACTTATTAGACTGGCGACTAGAAGTATATTTCTGATTAATTTTAACTAATAATTAACTTTTTAAAACCTTAAAACATTATTTATTTTGAGGTCAAAATCCAATAAAACCCACTTTCAAAACGGTCTCAGATATTTGGGTCCCACTTCAGGAATGAAATAACTGCTCTTTTTTCTTCTAACAGCTGCTAAAGTACTTCAGAAATTAAGCTAAATTATGATTGACAGCAAAGACCAGTCTTTCCTGTATATTGTTTCTGAACCTAAACTGATGGCAAGCAAGACAGAGTAGCGGCTCCTTTTTTGAGTTGTTGATCCAGGGCAGCAGGCCTGTGCTGTTGAGTCATGCTTTGCCACACCAACCACATTTGGACACCTTATTTATTTACCACAACACAAAAAGGAGTGTTACGCAACATGGATGAAGTTCCCTTAAAAGGTGTGATAGAGTGAGGGAATAGAGGAAATGAAAACAGGACAGATGGTGCTGCATTTAAAACCAGCATGTCTGCACCTGCATGCGGTACATGTGCACATGGCCATGTATGTTTGTTTACGTGCACATGTGTCATATATGTTTGTGTGAGTACTGAGAATTATGAACTTCATTATGGATTTACATAACTGCAATTTCTGACATGAAATCAAATGGGGAATGTGCTTTTTATTATAAGTGAGAGAAAGAGAAGAAAAAAGAAAGAGAGAGGCATGTAGTGAGGGGATTCGAGTATTTCTAGGAAGCGTAATTTGATACGTCTGTTTGCCA